TGAAATCGCTGCCAGTTTTCTACCTAGTGCAGCACATTTATGTTTTATCATGTACTGCTAAAAAGCCTACAATGCAATGTTTTGCCTTAAATAAATGTAATTAAATGTAAATTGTAGTTATGTGACACCTGTCAGTGATGGCAGAAAAACTCTTTTTCTTAGACAGTGTCTAGTTTCTATTATGTAAAATCCTCCTGTGAGCCAGACAGTGATGCTGTAAGGTTGTGGCGGCAGCAGGTTTGTCAGCAGAAGAAGAACTGGGTAAGTTAGCATTAACAGCAGCTGCCAAACCTAGGTGCACAGACCTAGAAGAACATAAAAAAAGAAAACTTCTAAAAGAAAAAAGAAAATGTGTCCAGTGCTGCCTATAACACTGGTGATCTCTGGGAAATGCAGTCTAAAAAACACCACAGCAACACCAAAAATCTATCTTCTAAACTAGTGCCAGAGCCCCTCTATGGAGAGTCTGCCCACTTCCTATTAATGCCATTGTTTTGAAATTGGCAGCTGCTCAACTGATGTGTTCAACCCGTAGACTGTATGGGCCAACCAAAGTGGTGAATGCCATAAAGTGGTTTTGGTGCGTTTTTTTTTTTTTAACTCCATAAACGTTACATTTTGGGGCTACAGCTCCACAGGCCCCCATTTATTCTGGACTATCTCACAAGGACTCCCCAAACAACCAGAAGTCCTGAGAGTTCTTCCCAGTTTAGAAATTGTCTGCTAGTGCAGTGGCTCAGTATCCCTGAACACCAGGCCACAAGGACATGATATGGCTTGGTAACAAAAAACAAAAACACTTAACAATCAAATGAATTTACATGATGCTGATATTGAGCTCCGTAATCCTAGACTTTTCTTTTTCCCCCCCCAATCTGTGCTGTATTTATGTCCTGTCAGAGTTAACGTAAATCAGTGTCTAACCTCTAAATGGTGTTTATATCAAATTTCAAGTTCTAATTACCAGAAGGGAAGTTGTATTTTTCTCAAAGCTCAAAATTGGCACTTAATAATAAAAATACAGAATGCCTCACACCATCACGTCAAATCAGTTGTTCAAGTCATTAAAGACAAATTTAATGAATGGTGCTATAGCGTCAATTACATTCGTTTTAACCCTCAGCTGACCAACTGTACAATCATACAATTGTCTTAACTTAATAACAGGAAAGTTTGCAAATCCTAAACACAGGAACACAGCAATATACTGCAAAACCTTGGCTCCATATGTAACTCCAGTCTGGCCTGTGATCAAATCCCCACTAACACTTCCTCGCTTGTGTCTGCCAAGCTAATTTTCCTCCTTCAAACAAACATTTGATAAATGGCCTTGTCGCTCTCCACTTTCAAAATAGGAAAACTCTCCCCGTCCTCCTCCTCTCCTCCCTCCAGACGATCTTCGTCGTCCTTTCCCCATCTCTGAGACAATTACAAACATCCCACTTCCCATTTATCACCAACAATTAAACAGCATGGACGCAGGCTACTTCATAAGCAGAGAGGAGAGGGTGCGGAGAGCGGGAGGAGACAAATGCGAGTGGAATGAAGTAGAGTCAACAGTGAGAAAGAGAGAGGAAGGCTGACAGCACAATTAAGGTTTTTAATTCTCTGCTTGAGTGGGCCGGTCCAGTCTTTATGCTAATTAGGATGCCACGGCCATATAATAAATCTCTATGATCCAGCCTCATTTCCCTTCTGTCTCTTTGTCTGTCTCTTTAGCACACGCACTCACACACACCAGCCTAGAAAGTTCACCCATTACTTTTTATAGCTACACCCTTCGGCTGGAGTGTTAATACTTTTGATAAAATTGTTTTTTCTTGCAATTTCTAATGCTTCCCTGAGATCTGAGAGCCAAAGCGTGTCAGCACATACTGTTTACTGGTTGGCCGAGCAATCGCCGCTTTGGCTCAACGCCTACACCACATCTAGTTTCTCTCCCTGTTAACTCCCTTTATTAGTGTTTTTCAGGAATGTGGTTTGCATGCCTTGCACTGTTGGACGGCACTGTATAAACACACACACATTTAAAAGCACTGACGCAATGAATGCAGAAGATTTTCTCTTATGCCTCTCTTTTTCTCTTATCTGCTCCTCTACATTTGACGGACATGTCTAATGATAACATCTGCAGATGGGAAGAAAACAGCACAACAATCCGCAGATAATTGGGGGCCACATTTAAAGAAGAGGAGGGAGAAAATGAGAGAGATAGATAAGTGGACAACAGCAGGCTGTTTGTAAAAGAAGCAACTAGCAGATGTATTTTCAACCTCATTTAGGTCACAAGGACGCACACTAATCAGTGCTTTTTTCACCCCACAACCAATTTAAACACAGAATCTATGTAAAAATCAACTACAGTTGTACGTTCATTAGATAAATGAGGGTAAAAGCAGGTCCAAACAAACTGAGATGAAATTTTACTCAAAAGAAACACACAATAACAGGAGAACTCACTCTTGATGCTCAACTGTACGACCAAACATCCTCAGTCTGGTTTTGGTGCGACGTCGCTCCAGTGTCTTCTGCCGGTAAGACGCTTTCTCATTAGCCGTGTCACCGTCAGCCATTTTGTGCTGTGTGAGGGCCAAAATGGCCACCACCCCAACCACCAGGGCCAGGTGAAGCAGGTACAGGGCTACACGGAGACAGGTCAGCAGCAGCGAGGTGAAGACAGTGGCGACGCACCAAGGCCCGGCCAGGAGCAGCAGGAGGGTGTGATGGAGGGAGCTGAGGACAAGAGCCGGAGCAGACAGGACGAGTCTGAGCAGCGTGGACGTCAACCAGGAGTACAGAGACAGAGGAGACAAGAGGAGAGACACTGCTGCCTCACACATGGATACAGCCTAAAAAGAGAATTATGATATTATTATTTTATATATATATATATATATTGAAAGGAAGGAATTGATATTAATAGCACAACTGATGGCAGTGGTTCCCTACTCTTTTTTTTTTTGTTTTTGCTTTGAACTTTAAACTAGAAACTTAATTTTTTTGGCTGCTTGGCCACAGTGGGAACAAATTGATAAATCAAAGTTGTTCGCAAACAGTTGCTTATTTACACATCCTGCAGCTACAGAGCAACATCATCATTCATTTAGAGTTGTGTTTCTGGCTACCTGGTAAATTTAAGTCCAATATTCACAGTCTTTTAGCTTTGTTTTTTTTTTTTGGTATCCACCAACTCCTGAGGAAGATGTCTGAATGAATCACAGCCACAAAGCATACTGGTCCCTTTTTATTTTTTAGGCCCCCTCAGGCTACAGAGCCACAGGTTGGAAACCACTGTACTGTATGTGGGCCTAATTAGTTTCTTCATATATTTTCATCATCTTACCTCACAATGATTTGCATGCGGTGCGTCACTGGATGTCTGCGTCTTGTGTAGCCCTGAAAAATGAGCAATGTACAGATGTGCAGACAGAAGAACAAAAAAAAAAGAAAAGGAAGAAATGGATGTGTCATACAGCTACCTCACAAAAACAACAAGCAAAACTGTTGGACGGAATCAGTGTAATAGCACTTCTAAAGAAACAAATACTCACATAGGAAAAGGAGAATGAGAGCAGTTGCCAGCAGTAGCCTCATTTCTCCAACACGCCTCTACACTCGCAAAACTGAGGACAACAAACAAAGAAGTGAACACAAGTCCACTCTAATCCGTTCTAGTATTTGCATGTGATTGCAGGGCAGTGCCTGTACAATTTATCAACTTGATGACAGCAGTTTATCAAAGACCTACATTTCTACTCACCCAACACTGCTACTAAAGTGGATGTACTGTGTGTCTGCTCCTGATACAGGTAAAAAGTTCCACCTTTGTTTCCCACTGCCTTACATTCTGCAAAAGTTCCTCAGCTTTAATTCATTAATGCTCCTCAGGAGTTTGTGCAAGGCATGCTCTTTTGCTCTTGTATTCAAACAGGCATGGACTGAACTACACAATTTGAGTTTAGGGATTGCAGTGCCCCCTGTTTGAATGGAGGAACAATGACTGCAATCATTTTAGATGCTGCATGTCGTGACTCACGGACCACTACAGGATTTAGGACATTCTTCTGAAAAGTGAAAAACTCGAGTAACTCACCTACTTGGTTAGTTTTGCTTCCACTAAGAGGACAGAGTGAATGAAAGAAAATATGGCAGCAACTTTATGATACAGAATCAAAAATATTTCAGTAAAAGTCACAGGATTGATGGCTCTGCTGAACAATTAGTTGGAGGAGAGGAGAGCTTGCTTTTTGTCCAGCTGTTGTCCACACTACACACACACACACACACGCACGAGCACGCACGCACGCAGCTCCGATTGTCCAACCTGGCAGGAATCATTACCACCACTGGAATAATACAGAGGATATGGGCTTAGGAGGATTTTTCTTTTACCACTCCAACCTTATTATCATCCCACCCCCCACCCTGTCTCAGAATCCATTAAGGTTAAACCCCCCCCCCCTTATCACCACCTCAACCCACCATTACCCTTCCCCTCCCTGCTGAGACGCCAAGGAGAACCTGCCACAAATAAATGCCCATCAGCTGCAACACTGTCGTGACAAAGTGGCATCTTGTGTTGGAACGGGGAGGGAAGAAGAGGAGAGGAGCCCTCAGACTCTTCTGTTTTATTCTGTTCAGATGTTGCAGGCAATGATCATCATTATTTAGTCATTCAGTCAGTCATAACAATCACACTCCTACAGCCATTTGTGCCATAACAATGATCATCCACCATTTTGAGCATCAAAGCTAATCCATTACCCTTCAGTATAGTTATTAATTTACTTCAGAACACAGAACATCCAAGGCTTGTAGTTCAATGACTATAAGTTGTAATTTTCCCTATAACATAAAAATTATGAAAACACACCGTTGTTGCTGTTTGTACTTAGTTTCTATTATTTAAACGAGTCTAATCAACAAGAGAGAAACACGAGTTTGAAATCTCAAACAAGAATCTGAAGTGACAAACGTAAACAATTGACACCTTTCACTTCTCATTTTATTGGTGGTAAATGCTTAGAAACACTGTCACTAAGACAAACTATCACCATCAATCTCTTTACTGAAGAGGAGTGAAGACTATAAGATGAACATAAGGATGATGACAGAGTGTTAAACACACCACTGCTCCATCAATCTGCCACATGAATGTAAAAACAAATGTTGTCAACCAAGTCCCCAAATCCACCTCAATCATCTGTCTCCATAAATACAGGCATGTTACACTTAGCAGAAATCATTTATTTTTGCTCCTTTTACACCGTCAGTAAAAATCTTACAGACACAATGTGACAGACAATGAAAACAAGAAAAGCACCAATAAGAAATAGAAGCAGACACTTCATATAACCACGTAAAAACATGATGGAATAACTGTTAACACATACATAAAAAAACAATGACAGTAAATTAGTAATCCTCTGCTTATTTGTTATTACATCAAGTTTTGCACCTCCAGGGGAGAATAACAACATCATGACATAAATATGGTAATAAGCAGCCAGAAGGTATACTATAAATACATTTCACACACGCACACATTCATCTCAAGAGGATTGACTGATCCTATTTAGCTTAATTATTATGAAAAAGGAAAGTAAAACAACAATCTACATAAAACAAGCTATTGTGTAAAAGATCCTGACATGCAATGCTCATAAATTCAATGTAACATGTACTCTAGGGATTGCAGGCTGGCCTTAGGACAATTTTGAATATTCCTTGTGAAGGACCGATCATAAATGCTAAGAATCTTTATATGAGATAGGGGTGTCAAGTCACTGGCCAGTGTCCGCTTTGTACAGGAAATTACATGGTCAGAAAAGTGCATTACTTAAATACTGGATGTGGAGAGGATATCCTCAACCAGGTGCTTGTAGACCCAAGCGTCTCCCTTCAGCCTCTGGCGGCGGACTCCGACTACCTCTGGCCTCTGCAGCAGGCACACCTCCAGCTCAAACGCCATTGTCACCTTCCCAAAGTCGCCCCAGGTCTGACACTTTAGGGTATACCTGAGTGCAGGGCGAAGGAAAAAAAACAAAAACAGAAAACAAACATGAGGATCTGATTGAAGACTGAGCCGTCTATTCAGAATAATGGAAAAGGGAAAGATGGAATGATTAAAGGTTTGTGCTCTTACCCTTTCTGTGTAAAGTCGACATTTTTCTCTGGCAGGATGGAGAGGATCTGGTTAAGCACCTGGTCTGGGTTTGTCTGACTAGTCAAAGTCACATTGTATTGTGCCTACAGAAAGACACAGACACTGATCAGAAATGCTGCCGAAATGTTAAAACTATAGAATATTTGATAATCAATTAATTAAGAAATAAGAAAAAACATACTGAACATTTTTTTAGTTCCAGTTTGTCAAAAGTGAGGATTAGTGCTTTTCTGTGTTTTTGTAAATTTAAAAACATTGGTCGGACAATTGAAAAAAATGTCATCTGCATTATGAAACCATTTTGACATTTTTTCAGCCTAAATGATTAATCAACCAATTAATGAATGGATGAAGACAATAGTTAACTAGTTAGTCTGTAGCACTATACTACATACAAGAAACAGAACAGGCGATGAGGTCTACATGCATATACCTTGATCTTGCGTGGGCCGTCACGCAGGGCTCGTCTCTTGCTGGGAGTGAGCATGGTGATCACCTTATCAAGACCTCTCTCCAGAGAACCAAACATCTTCCCTCCTCTCTTCTTCTTCCCACTGTCTCCCATAACGGCCATGTCCAAAGACCGAGACCTGCGGAGCGAATGGGGTTTCACATTTAATCGCTCTAGCTTGGCATCTGATCTAAGTCATCCTCACCTGTCCCTCCCAGTTAAAAGCAGTAAGTTACCCTATTCAGTTACGTCCTTTCTTTCACCTCAGAGCCTTAGGCCTGGAACAGACTGCCCGCATGGCGTGTGTGGAACATTTTGGTTTTCATTTCAGTGCATTTCGTGTGTGTGTGTGTGTTGCTCTGAACGAGGGTAAACAAAAGTCAAGGCAAACTCAATGTTCAAAGACGCAGCAGACACGCAGCTGGTGTGAACAAGTCAGCTGCCAAGCACACACAAGGTAGGCAGTGTGTTCCGAGTATTACCCATCCTGCAGGCCACTCACCTTCTCTCAGGACTGAAGGTCAGTATTTCAGTGTTTGCAGGCTCCTTGTTCTCTGCTGTTTTCTTCTTGTTGTGTTCTCTAGAGGCACTGCCTTCACCTGCAGGACACACAGGAATACAAATGGTTTTTCAACCTGAGCATCTCTTAAGAGGAATTGAAAAAGAAAAACGGTGTGGGATGGGATTAAATGTACAAGGTTATGGGTACAGCCCTTTGCTCTTATGCATGGAACTAGCTGGCTTTCACATTGAAGTTGTGAACACAAAGGCTTTGGTGTACACAAAGACAAGCAGTCTAACACACACACACACACACACACACACACACACACAGAGCTAGGCTTTAGTGGCAAGAGAACACATGTCACTACAGCCCACGTGGGACAGTGAGCAGAGGAAAGAGACAGCTACACCTGTCACAGCACACGCCTAGGGACAGGCACACACAGACCACGGTGCACGCGTGTGTGGACAAGTATGTCAGAAGCAGCATGTCTGCACTGTAGCTTAGAGAGCAGGCGGCTGTAAAGAGAGCAGGACCGAGCCAGGAGGGTTTAACACCAACTAGGTCGGCAGCAGCGTATTAGCAGGCTTGTGGCCGAGTTTATAGTGGAAACTAATGAGGCTGGACATCTGAGCAGAGAATTCACTTTGACAAATAATTAAGACTTTAATGATTCTCCATTCATATTAGTGTCCTTCATTTACAGATAAGTGAATAGAATTAGCTTTCCTGATAATAACCTCACCTTTGAGTTGACAGTGATAAGTGTGTGTGTCCATTTTCAGTGGCATAATGACAACTAAATCATAGAAATATGAGTGGCTTTGGGATAAAAACAGGCCCCATAAATGAGTTTATTACCAGAAGACAATTTACTTGCAAATGTGTGGCATGTGGATGTGGCACTTGTGATTATGAGAGCTGCATGAGACTGAGAGAGAGGGACAGATAAATGAAAAAGAGCAATGTGGAGAGGGGCAATTGGCTAATGCAAATAATCTAATAGAGATTGTACTTCAATTTTTTTTTTTGTTTTGAACACAAAACAATTACAGTATACAAATAGCCATTTGTTGAGTAACCAAGAGATTCTTTTTACCTTTAGGCGTCACTGCATTGGGTTTGCTGCTAATGACGTTAGCATTTTGATTTGGTGTGGTCAACACAATCTTGTTGGGGCGTGCATTCTTCTTGCTGGACACTGGAGTTCGAGGAGGAGGCAACGCAAAAATTTCAACATCTTTCTCCTGAACAGCAATATTCTCCTTGTTCTCACTGGTTCGGTTTTGGTCTCTTTCTCTCCTCTCCTGGCGGTGCTGTGCATTCGTTCGCCCCCTCTCTGGAGTTGTGGTATAAGCACATCTTTTCTCCACTGACGGAGATGCCAGTCTCTTTAAGAGGAACGGTGAAATGTAGTATGAGTATATTTATCTGAAAGAGTCATAGACCTTCTCCTTCACTGCTAAAACCCTACACAGATCGTTTTTATCCAAACATTCTCCTTTTTCTGAACCTCTTTTTATATGGTCACAAAACACAGCAAAAGCATATTCATCCTAACTTTCACATACCGTGTCTTTGTTGTTTGCGATTCCATCTGGCCGACCTCTGACCCCCTGGGATGTATGTTGTGTGACTGAAATCCACGGACAATCATCAATGTATTCTGAGCAAAAGTCCAAAGACCCCACAATCACAGCATCTTCATCCTCGCTAAAATGAAGGGCTTCCCTAGACTGAAAGAGAGACAGAAAATAAGGAATGGAAAAAACAACAAGACAAAAAGATCGACAACAAGACTTGGTACTGGGAAACAGTGGGTATATAAGGTTCAGGGTATAGGTGTAAAAACCGAGACAGGATAGCTGTACAGACAGTCAGTGCCCCAGAAAGAGAGCAGAGCATTGTGGGAGTTGTGGTCCCATGTCTGACCTGAAGTCCCTGGTGCAGAGGAGAGCAGGAGTCCTCACAGACAGTTGGCTCAGGGTACAGGCGGACAGGCTTTCCCCTCCGTTTCTTTGACAGCAGAAGCAGGTAGGTGGCTGTGGTCTGGTCATACCGCCACTGTGGAAGTTAAGATGTATTAGACTGTAACAGAAACTATGTCACACATTATATTTACACATAATAGAATTGTTGTAATTTCACCATCAAAAACAACATACAAGGAACTGATCAGCATAATAAACATCAATGCTAACATTCTAATGTGCATACAACATGGCACACACCTCCTTCACCAGTGCTGTGGTGCTCTCTCTCGATCGCTTCATGTTGACTGCCATCTCAGTGATACAGTCCTCATCTATGTGTCCAAGCTACAAAACAAGACTGAGACTGTTAACAGAAAATCCAACACTGACACTACTTTTGTATATTTGAGCACTAAAATCACAATCCCCACAAAATAATGATGATATTGAGGATTATGGTGCTGCAAACATGCAATAGGAGGTACACAAACTATATATAGTTGTATATGGTTCTGCAGTGTTTCTACTTGTGCGGTTCTATTGATATGTTTATGTATGCATTTTTAACAGTTTATAGGTGTGTGTTTGTGTGAGTGTACCGGCTGCCTGCTGTACCACTCCACAGGGCTGTTGTAGTCTTTCATCACCCAGGGATGGTCCAGCATTTGTCGAACAGTAAGACGCCGCTTGGGGTCCACCTAAAGGACATACACAGGAACTACAACTCAACATGCAACAAGACTACATACTCTGCAGCCTATGGCAAAACATATTGCACATGTTGTACAAAAAAAAGAAATCAATCATATTCAATTTAAATATAATTTTTATAAATATAATATAAAAATATTAATATATAATATATATATATATATATATATATACACACACACATATATATATATATATAATAAAACCTTTATTCCAAGTTTAAATCCTGACCCACTACAGTGATAAACTGCGGTGACCAAGAGGCTGAGTAGACAACAAATAGATAAAAGAGAAAACTGGATGACTGAATATGTACCTGCATCATCTGGTTGAGGAGGAGAACACTACCTGGAGAGAGCCACCGGGGGTTGTCGTATTTACCTCTCTGAAGATATAAAAGACAAACACATCTTTAAATAAAAATACACCACAAACAAACATAAAGGTTTCCTCAGTTTATGGACTTGTTTATGTGGTAATATTTCAACAGTGAATATGATTTTAAGGGCACACAACAACTTTGAGGAATGACCTCGAATTATTTTCAGAAAAACCTTAAATTTTATATATTTTAAACATCATTAACACAGCAGTTCTCTTACTGTAATCTTCCTGTAGAGGACCATGCAGTTGTCGTCATCGAAAGGCAGGTATCCACAGAGAAGAGCGAACAGCAGTACCCCCATACTCCACACATCAGCCTGGATGTTACACATCACACAGCAACTTTCAACTTCAAGTGTTACAGCCAGGATTTCACAGCTCAGTTGCACTGAGTCATGCACCAGCAAATATGATCAGGACACCATGAAAAAGCAGAATTGTGGAACAGGCAGGTAATCATCAACCTTAGTGGGGAAAAAATTAAGTTTTGTGGGTTTAAATAAGGACACATCTTGAAATTGCAACCCCATTGGTTGTAAAAGATGTAAACAGCATACATCTCTCACCTCTGAACCAATATATGCTTTTCCCTGGATGAGCTCAGGAGCAGCATAAGCAGGGCTGCCGCAACATGTCATCAGCTCATAACCCAGACCTCCCTAGGAGAGAGACAACCAGATGATAGCCAGACCACACAACATGCACGCACATACCGAGTTGTTATTCAGTAACCACTACCTATGTATACACTTTTTTTTTGGGTATCAGCTTGTCTCTGTTATACCCTGTAGGTCACAGAAATATGTTTCGAAACAGAGAAATAGTCTAGAATATGAGATGATCGATCCAGTATTTCTCAATGTAAAATCTGTCTATCTGTCTGACTGAACCATTAGATTGGCATCTAACCAAAAATATGGTACGTTTTTTTCTATTCATAATTTTCCATTTCTTTCACATTAGTTGGGCAAATACCTTAAAAGCTAAATATTTTTGATACACACGGAAGTGGGACAGGGAATGTGATGTTGTACCTTAGGTTTGGCACAAAGGCCAAAGTCTATGAGCTTCAAGTTGTGGTCTTCATCAATCAACAAGTTTTCCTACATTTCAGAAAGACAAACATGCAGCAGAGATTTAATTCATATAAAACCACAGAGAAGTAGACACATTTTACTGCACTTCCTGTCTGAATTAGTGAGTGGTTGCCTTTACCGGTTTTAGATCTCTGTGGGCATATCCCTGGCTGTGGACGTAGGCCAGCGCAGACACAATCTGTCTGAAAAACACCCTGGTCTCCTCCTCTGACAGACGGTCCTTTGCTATGATGTAATCAAACAACTCCCCCCCTGGACAATACTGAGAGAAGAGAGAAAGGAGGGAGGGAAACAAAGGAGCCAACTGGATGAATATGACATTATCACATACACACTCAAACAAATTTTCTTTGTGTATGTGTGCTTACCTCTAGCACCATGAAGATCTGGGTGGAGGTCTCTATGACCTGATAAAGACGACAAACGTGTTGATGACTCAGGTTCTTCATGGCCTCAATCTCCACCTTTACACGGGGCAGGTCATCCTGGGAGAGAGGTAAGTTTATTTTATTTTGGTAATGATTGTAATATCTGGTATGCCTTTTTCTACTGTGTGGATTTAAATTTTCTCTGTATTTTTGTACTATTATTTTATGAAGACCTCAGAATGACTATCAACATTCCAAAGTGTGTGGTAAGAAAGTGAGATTCAAATAAATATTAATAAAACTAAATTAATGCAAAAAAAAGTTAGTGATGATGGCAAATAAGTAAGTCTCAAGTTATCGGCATGTTACGCAACAGAAAGCTAACTGAAGACAACTTTGAAATGTCATCAACTGTTAGAAACAATCTGTGCAATCTCTAAAAGTGGTTGTTTGTAATGAAAATAATTGCTGCTGTTGCTTTGATGTCAAGCTTTTTAAGATGTTTTATTTTCAATTTTCTGTAGCCTGGTAAGTGAAGTTGTCTCTTTCTGACTCACCCCCAAATCTTTCTTATTCATGATTTTAATGGCAACTTTCTCTCTTGTCTGGATGTGCCGACCCAGCTTGACTTTGGCAAAGCCTCCTGAAAAATACACAAGGTTCACAACTCAAACCGGGGTGGATACGACACTGACAGAAAGCTGTAAATTAATCATTAATATCGACGTTACCTGAGCCGATAGTCTCGTAAACCTCATAGTGTCTGTAGAGCTCATCGGCTCCGCGGTGCTCCGTCCTTTCCACAGGCATCCTCCCTGTTTCAGCCGCACGACGATAAACCTCTCTGCGGCGAGGGAAAAGGGTTTGTAGCAGCAGCGTTAGCACTCAACTCACTAACACACTCGGTTTACTGAAAAACTCGTGTTGTGTTCAACATTAACATTAACTTGTACTCTGCCCGTTAAACATTTTCTGGCTAGCTAGCTCAACTAACGCAGAATTGTTGCCAACATAAGTCGTTAATGCCACAAATAACAAAACAAAAGTACCCTTAGTGAAAGCAGTGTTACTAAAAGCTAACTGGTCGACATTACCTTAGTTTGTGTGAAAACTGGAAAGGAATTTGGTAAAATCAGTTAACAACCATATGGAGAAGCCCTCTGGCAGAGATGTTTTGTTACAGAAGTTTGAATTTCGTACGTCGACGTTGACTGCATTTCCTGTTTCCGTTTGTTGCTTCGTCCGCGCCCTTGTGGCGAATAAGAGTTACTGCAGCCATTAAGACAAAACAGCGCTACAGAGGTGTTGATTCACCTTCGTGGTGATTTTGTGGTCATTATGGTCTCTACACTCAATGTAGATTGGGTGATTGGGTGGAAAAATATTAGAAACATCTCTCCAGTGGTGGAGTATTGAGATCCTTTACTCAAATAACAGCACATATACCAAACTGTAAAAATACTTAAGTAGGCTTAATGAAAATGGACTTATCAAAAGGTATAAAAAGTAACAGTACTCACGCAGAGACACGGCTCCTATGAGTGTATATTAGCCTATATCTAATTATATACTATCATGGATGGATTACTGAGTGGGCCTACTGGGCACAGGCCCAGGGACCCCAAAGGTCAGGGGGTCAGCCTGGGCTTGACCTGCAAAATGTCACTGAAAGAGACACATATCAATTACAAAGAGACCCAAAATTACTACAAAGTTATGAACTACAAAGAGACATAAAAGACCTCAAAAGGCCTCATCTCTGGACATTTACAAAAAACTGCGGAAAACCCACCTATGGCCTCTAGCTCACTCATCTCCTACAATCTCCTCCAATCATTGCCATCTTTATTTTGTCTCGTCTTGTTTTCATTTATTAGTTTTATTTATTTATTTGTGTTCTTACTCTGTAAAGCAGCATTGGGTACCTTGAAAGGTGCTATAAAAATTCAAGTTATTATTATTATTATTATTATTGTTGTTGTTATGAAATAGATGCTTAGTGATAAGACGAAGTACAAAGAGACAAAAAACAACAAAGACTTGTAAAATGGCTCCTGTAGGAGGGGTAGGGGGCCTTTTACATTATGGGTCATGGAATGGTTTTATAAGTATCAAAACGATGTGTATCGTTCACCAGATCTCAACCCAACTATATGTGTGTTAGACAGCGCTCTCCCCCGCCATCATCAAAAAACCAAATAAAGGTACATGCTCATCCCTCTAGTAGAGTCTTGTAGGATATAAATCAAAGAACACTGAATCTGTTCATCTAGCTTGTGGTGGCCAAATACCTTATTAGGATATCGTTTGTCTTGTAACCCGCCTCTAAATGTACACGTATATTCCATTCCCCCATCCATTAATTTCCCCTTATGGTCTGCAGGCAGGTCGCTGGTAAATCACAAGACGGACATATATGTAGTATGTAGCAAGACATCCATTCTTACAGACAGTCATTTATAAAGAAATAAACCCTTTATGTACACCCTGTGTGCAACATTGTTTGACTGGGGTATTTAAAAATGAAATAAAACAAAGCAGTCTACCATATGGTAAATGGACAGTTACACCTTTCTGAAAGGTAGTGGTTAGTTATAAGATTTACCTGCACACACGCTTCCATGTGCATTCGTGGGCAGGTATACACAACCTGAGGGATGGAAAGCATTCTCTATGTTGTAATGTGAAAACTGTTCTGCTTGACCCTGTAGGTATGCAGTTGCAGTAGCTGACCAAAGAGGTGTATTTATGGCGTCAGAAGGTGTGTGTGTCTTCACCTGAACTAGTCTCAAGCCTGTAATTACGAAAAGGTGAGAGGTGAGCACAGAGACCACTGAATGCATGTTAACAGACCCCTGCTTACTTGTCAGCCATTTGTAATGAGTGTATACAACCACTCTCACTGTTGCAGTTTACTTGTTGTGCTGTCAATGCCACAGTAACTATTTGATCTATAGTTACTGTCCTCCATTGAATGCATTGGCATGGTACAACTTAACTGCGCCTATTCTTGTCAATTAGAGACAGATCAGCTCAAAACTAAAGAATTTCTAATAAGTAGGAAGACATGATGCTTTTAAGATCACAGAACAGGCCATCCAAGTCACGTATGAGATGTTTATGGAGTGAAAATATTACATCCTGACACTTAGCCAACATGGACAGTCATCTGCAGAGGAATGTTAGTGATTGATCAGTGGTCGTCCTGTGTTTCTCATGGTCGTTAGGGAAAGAGTTGGTCGTTAGGGAAGTAACTGGTGGTTAGGGGACGACCAGGTGTCAGCGGGATGACAGAACCCTTCATTTGGTTTCTGGGGCAGCTGGCCAGGACGGGACAGAGGGACATCAAACAACCCACAGCTGGAAGAAAAGAGAGGGGAAGGCGAGCGTGAGGACAGAAGAAAAAGGATAGGAGAAGGGAAGGGAGGAGAAGAAAAAGAGGGACATGGAGAAGAGAGGAAAATGGGGAAAATCAATAGTAAGGGAATGTAAGGGAGAGAAATCTTTGATTTCAGTGGTGAGCTAGATTTCTGGTGACTGTATTGTTCATTCTCTGTCTTTTACCATTTTGTCTTCTTTTCTTCTTCATTTTTTGTGGCCAGTGTGGCCAGCCTGGACACAGACACACAGACACACACACACACACACACACACACACACACACACACACACACACACACACACACACACACACACACACACACACACACACACACACACAACACCAACACACACACACACACACACACACACACACACACACACACACACACACATTTTTTCACCATCCCAGTGGGGAACATGCATTGACATAATGCATTCTCTAGCCCCTTACCCTAACCTTAACTATCACAACTAATTACCTAACCCCAACCCTTACCCTAACCAAAACCTCATTCTAGCCCTTGAATCAAGTCTTAACCTCAATTTTTGTCCCCACATTGACACGAGTCTGCACGGGTTAGTGTGTATTCAGGTGTATTCACACACACACACACACACACACACACACACACACACACACAGATCACACCCGAGAGTCTCACTCGGATTCACGCGGACCCATCACAATCATCACACATCACCACACCACAACCACACGAGACACACACACAGAGACACACACACACACACACACACACAAACTAAATCATATTTCAAATATGGTTGATTCTCGGGAAAGTAACAGAAAATCCCAAATCTGCATGAGCTCACATTTTACTGCACATTGAAACATATTTTCAATGTACTGTAGCAAACTGCAAGCCAGTGGGTGTTCCCCCCTCTGGGTCCTTTTATAAGATGCGACTCAAGAGAAATGCTTTCTTTTGTTCATGAATAAAAAAAAGAATAAATTGTTGTAATGCTTTTGAGGATAAGTTCTGCTGCAGTCAATGGTTTTAACAGACTGCATGAGGGCCTGAGGTTTTGCCAGTTAAGTTTCACATATACAAGCCTCAGAACTGAACCGCAGCAGTCGGGCATGTCAGCGTCTTTAGCTAAATCCCAATATTATCGCGCCAATAGCTGCAAAACATGATAACCACATCATCTTTAGAAAATGTTGCAGTATTAACATGTGTGTTATCAGTTTGACGAAGCATAATGTTATCTGTATAGTGCCTGTGTTTGTGGCTCTATGCTTGTACATGTCATTCGTTGAGCATATCAGTGTGTTAAGTAGCTGCTGTGCCACTTCCAGCTGCTCTCAGGGCCTCACAGTGTGTGTGAGTAATCAGACATGGCAGCTATTAAGCTGTCACATTGGAAAACAGACGTTGTAGCCCTAACAGCGACCGTCTTGCACAGAATTCCCAGTATTTCCTGACAGAATTTTGGAGCCTCCCAGAATGCCCATGTCATTGCTACGTGACTACCAAGCATTCACTGTAAGGGAGCGTCGTCTGGCTATGCACCAGAGAGGGGGAGAAAGAAAAATGATGCACAGCTTGTGTGTGTAGGTTTATGCTTATAATCTTGGTTCGTGCTGCAGTACATCGGTGCCCTTGTGTGTCTCAGGTCAAAGGGCAAAGTGCCAGACACTCACATGGACAGACACAGACAGACACATAAAGACAGAGGAAATGATTCACTGGCATCATCTCTCTCAGTGTTGCTTCCAGTGTCCTCGTGAGGCTTCGCAGAGCTTTGCAGGATCACAGTCAAACTTGTCTTTCTCACTTGATCGATTCACGGTGCACCGTGGACATTGCATCATGGTGCTTTATCCACACATATGTAACTCGTATACCTCTATAGAGTTCACATGCAAACATATGCACCTACACAAGCACACACACAATCACAAAGTTGTGAGTTGTGAAATTCTCAGTCCTGGCAAATTCACCCCCATGTTGTGAACAGCTGCGGTGCGGATCAGCTGGCAATCTATGGGAAAAGTTCTTTCTCAGAATTTAATTGTGGTTTGTGCTACTCAATACAGGCATGAAACAGGTGGGAAAAACATATTATCTCTGCTCCATCACTCTAATTTTCTCCATGACATTAAGTTAGAGTCGGCAGTTTAAGTAGTCTCTGATATTTACAACTCGTATCTCTCCACACTCTCCAACATAAAACAGTGGAAAGTTAAAGAGCCAGGGAAGCTACACTACATTGTGTGTTTACAGGGATAAAACAGTCCTGTGCCCAGAACTAAAACATTCAGCCAGGGGAATATATTGCACCCATATGTGTTTGATCTTCACCAAATCATTTATGTCCATGCAAATATTACTATACCCCTGCTAGATGAAGATGTTGGGAGTGTGTAACTGTGGGGTTTTGATTCCTGGCCAGTGGATTTACAGTAATTTCTGAATCAGAATTTCTCCCCGACATGGTATGGTGGTGGGCATCTTTTGGGTGTGAATCACTGATGAAGGGAAACTGGGAATCACTGTAGAGAAAAAATGGTACTTTCCACGTTTTGTGTTCACTACAGAGAGAGAATTTAATAAACTGTGAATAGATTCAGCATATTTTATTGATTATGCTCAATCCAGCCCTTTCTTACATTGGTATTTTTAATTCAGACTTTTTAGCCTTCATTTTTTTGCCCATCATTGCTGAAATGAAAAATGGAATAACTCGGAGCAAGACGAGCCTTATAAAGTAAAAAACAAGAAGTGGGTGGAGAAGTCAGAGCAAGATCAAGAGTGATGTGTGTCCAAAGCCTCACAATCTTGCATGACGATTCACAGGCAGAGATATTGGTTTTGGATGAGCTTTAGAATACACTACAGGAGCCTATCCACATGGCACAGACAGACACACACACACACACACACACACACACACACACACATCATGAGCTATCACAACATTCATACTGAGGTGCAAGATGGGTGTGACCTCAACTTGAAATAACTTTAAAAAATGTGCCTACACTTTTCAAGCACTTTCTCTCAACATTTCTCCTTACATCCCGCCCAAACTTTGTCTTTTTTCCCTCCCACCCCTCAAGCCAACCCCACCTCACAAACACACACTCCCCCATTAAACATGTGTGTGTATGTGTGTGTGTGAGTGTCCTTCCTCAGTTTCTCCATGGCTGGATTGTGGCAGCAGCGCAGCTCCCTGCGGCAGGGTCGAGCTCTGGCTCTCCTCCACTTTATTTGTCTTCTCTACCCACCCTCAGGTGCTCTTCCCTGGGATACCAAAGCCAGCCCATCCCCTCTGGAGGTAAGAAATCCACACAGTCAAGGAAAGAAGTGAAAATGTAATTCATATTCATATGTAGCTAGATGAATGTTTGAAGCTGTAATTTAATCATTTATGCAAACTTTTTAAGAGCCATGTCAGTGTTTTACAAATGTTGTTTTGTTGTCAAACCAAAATCTGGCAGACGGACACAACTGCATGGCAGCCCACCAGTTTGTTTTAGATTATATCTATCTTTGTCACTCATGCAAACTAATCACTAACAGATCAAGCTATATCAGATTATAGATAAAGCATCAAAAGGGGAAGAAAAAAGAGAGGCCTATTGAGAAAGACATGATGTGAAAAGAAGAGAAGAGGTAAAAATGTAAACTTGCAAAATGGAGATCTGTGCAGAGGAGGAATGGAGAGGAAGACCAGAAAGGTTCCCCAACTCAAACCAACTGTTGGACTGGACTGAGTGAGCTGTGGGATTTCCAGCAAGAGAGAGAAAGAGAGAGAGAGAGAGAGAGAGTTGGAGAGCAGGATGGATGAGTGAAAATGAGAGAAAAAGAGCAGCAATGTGATCCAGCGGAATTTATGATTGTACTGTTGAAACACATGCCTGTGATGGTGAAACCATGGTACAGAGAGCATGCAGAGAGCGTCCGTGCATGTACACAATCGGGCATATACAGTGTTTGTGCCTGGTGGCTTTGTGTGCATAACAGCGTGTCAATGTGTGTGTTGGCAGCAGTATGAAGTGGTGAAGGGGAATTTCTCTCGTACTTTCCTCCGCGTTGGCTACCATAAGATTGCAGAGATTCCTGCAGGAGCACGAAACATCAGCATACAGGAGACAGTGAAGAGTCGAAACTACCTGGGTACACACTCACACATAGATACAGACACACACACAGACACACACACATACTGTATCTAACAACAGAAACATTTTTTCAGCATGACAAACACTACAGTGATGGATGAACGTGTGGTTTTCCTCCAGCTCTGCAGACCAAAACTGGCGTCTCCATCATCAATGGAAACTGGGTGATTGACCGGCCTGGGATCTTCATTGCTGTGGGAACACAGCTGATCTACCGACGACCCAATGAAATCCGCTCTCGCAATGGAGAGTCCATCACTGCACCTGGGCCGCTGACTGAGGACCTGCATGTTTATGTGAGAACTGTGTCTTGTTCAAATGCATAAATACATACAGTACATAATACATTGTACTACAATACAAAAACAATATTACTACACACCAAGGTCTACCACTCATCTCTTTCTCTCTTTTTTATAGTTGATCTACCAGCAACCAGGTCCCGGTGTATACTATGAATACAGTGTACCCTTACAAAACACACACCCGACTCCTGAGCCAGATACACCTTCTGATATACTTCCCCTGTGTGAGTGCTCACAATAACACACTAAATATTTTGGTTTGCCTGCGAGGATAATAACACATGCCTCTGTTTGTGTCCTCATGCAGGTTCATTTGAGAGAAACTGTCCTTTTGCAAAATTTGATTAGGATTTTGATAACATTTGATACAGATAGGAATCCAAAGCTTATACTGGCAGAGCATTTGAAAAGAGCATTTCACCACGCTCTGAGACAATAATTGGGCATTTGGGCCACATTTAATTTCATTACCTAATATCTAACCTTGATTAAAGAAGCAGTTTAATTTGCATCCGCCGATGCTGGCAAATAATTACTTAATTTTAATAAATCTCCTGATCTATCTCAAGAAACTGCAAATATTCTTAAAGACCCTGCACAACCCCACAGGCGTTTTCAAATATTCTGGCTGATTAGACCTTTGCAAAGGTTGAAGGTGGGTGGAACTGTGCTGGAAGATGCTGGTCATCCGACTCCATGTATTGGTAAGAATAATAAAGGAGTTATTTCTCCCACCCACTGTACATACTGTATACTTTATGTACAATATTCTCGTACAATATTCTCTTCCAGTTTGTATACAACAAATCAACATACTTAAACGTTTTATATCAACAAGAAATGAAACAATATGTGCTCCGCTGGACATCATCTGAGGTGTTACTGGAGCTGTTTTGCCAACATCCACAATTAGTTTTGATTTTTTCCAGCTGTAAGTAACTCCTCCATTTGCTTTGTGCTTTGCCAGAGAGTAGCATACATCATACATCAACAGCACACTCAAAAGTCAGCATGCTGACTGAGTAAACTTTTTGACCGATGTGGACACGCTACTCATCTGCTTAGAATTAGTGGATGTAGGTAGGGATTTAGAACAGCCTTTACACACCCACACAGTCCTGAAAACACATCTAATCAGCCATAAGTGAAATCACCTGTGTGGGTGTGCTGGGCCTTTAACGCTTACTGAATTTTGTTTCATGCTTCATTCCATCTCTTTACTTTTACTTCACTGCCTTTCTTCACTTAAGTGCCTGTGAACATTCTTGCTCCACCCCTTAAACTACCACTTTCTTGTAGCGGAGGCAGTAGATCCATCCAATCCAGGTGAGGAAGTTCACCAAGGTGACATCACCAACAATGACATAACCAAGGAGACACCCCATCCCAAACAGGTTTCCTCTGACCACAACGGGGACTCTGACCCTCGGCCCACTTATACCTGGACAAAGAGTGGGCACACAGAGTGTAGTACAACCTGTGGCACTGGTGAGGAAATATGTACAACACAAAGAAATGGTGTACACTTACTGAATGAATGCTTTCCAAATCTCTACTTCGTATACTTGTTTATTTAGCACTTTTTTGTTTATGCTAAATAAATATTTGGGGCTTTGCTTTATCCATACTTGCCAATGCAAAAAGACATAAGACCATTCGGGATCTGCGATCTCTACACTGCAGCAAGGAAACACAAATGATAATAAAATGTTACAGAATCAGAGATGACACACATAAATGTCACTGAAAGCTGTAGTTTTCACACCTATAGGGCCGAGACTGCTGGCAAAATACATGGGCCTCATACATCATTACTATTCATGTAAATAACTTTATTGTTTGTCAACACGTGTATGTAGACAGTCAAATGTTTGCAGACAAACACACATCGACTTGCTTGGTCTTTTTTCTGTGTGTGTGTGTGTGTGTGTGTGTGTGTGTGTGTGTGTGTGTGTGTGTGTGTGTGTGTGTGTGTGTGTGTGTGTGCACTTGCCAGGCAGGCGTCAGGTGTTCTGGGAGTGTGTTGAGAAGGATTCACAGATGACTGTTGCTGCTGACCTCTGTGACCTTGCCCTTGAACCAACAAACCGGGAAGAAGACTGCAACACCCAGCCCTGCCCTGCATAGTGAGTAACATACACACACACACACACACACATGTACACTGTATTACTTCCACGTGGCACTGTTGACTTTCAGGGTGAAACCTCCGTCACTCACACACATTTCAGCCATAAGTCAGTCACCAGTCACAGTCAATCACCCTGACTCACTTTGGTGTGGCTTTGGTTTTCATGTCTTGTGGCAAATACCACAAGATATTACCATTGCCAAGATGTAGCAGGGTGCTAGTGTATTGACTGTGTTGTTTGGTTGTGGGTCTGTTAGATATTTCGCCCAGAGTGTCGGTGATCCATGATTGCTGTCAATCTGAAATAAATATGTTTCCACTGGGAATGCAGCAGCAACAGAGGACTGAAAAACTGAAACTTCAGTGGTAACAGAGGGAGGAGAAACATCTGAACTTGTGCAGCACATGTTGGCTTATTTTGCTTGACTCCTCTATGATCTCTTTTTTAAGGAAACATCAGACTTTAAAATGCCTCCTGTAGTCCACACACAAAAACTGTGATCAAACTGGAGACAGACAGCTGGGACATGCTTGAGAAAAGTCATTGAAAACTCATATATCACCACATTTTTCGTGATGGACCGCAGGCTGTTCTTTATTTCTGCTCACCCTCTCTCTCTCTCTCTCTCTCTCTCTCTCTCTCTCTCTCTCTCTCTCTGTGTCATCTTTGATTGTCTCACAGCTGGGATGTGGGGGAGTGGTCAGAGTGCAGCAGGAAGTGTGGACCCGGCACTCAGCACCGCCAGGTCATCTGCCGCCAGGTCACTCACGTCCATGCCAATGGGAGGGAGTCCTCCGTTACTGTGGCACCAGAGCTGTGTGGGTCGTCTGATAAGACAGTGACCAAGTCAACCTGTCAGCTGAAAATTTGCAGCCAGTGGCAGATTCGATCTGAGTGGAGCCCGGTGAGAAAACACACACACACACACACACACACACACACACACACACCCACACACACACACACACCTCTGAGTATTATAATGCATGATGATGACTAATAGACCTGTACTTTAATCAGGTGCGGAGAAAGTCTTCAGATCTTTGAGCCAAGTAAAAGTAAGACAGAGTAGTAGTAGTAGTAGTAGTAGTAGTAGTAGTAGTATTAGTAAGAGAAGTACTATGATGTAAAAATATTAAATTACAATAAAAAGCCTGCATTCTAGATTTAAAGTAACAGTTTAATGTTATAACTGGTCCAGGTGGAGATCATATTTTAACAACAGGATCATATGTTTTGTCCAAAAAATCTTAATCTGCAATAACTAATCTGTATGTAACTAATAACAGTGGTTGAATAAATTTAGTGGAGTAATAAAGTGCAATATTTCAGTACCTCCAAACAGATTATAAGTACAATGCTTGAGTAAATCTACTTAATTATTTTTCACCACTGACTGATATTCTCTGGTCATTATTTTACTCTGTCCATACCCAATGCCATAATATACCTCTCTCTCCCTCTGTCTGTCTCCCCCAGTGTTCAGTGCCATGTGGGGTGGGCCAGCGCAGCAGGGAGGTGGTGTGTTTGAGTAACCAGGGTGATGTGGAGGAGGATGAGGAGTGTAACATGAAGCTAAAGCCAGACACACTGCAAAACTGTGACATGGGAGCCTGTGCACGCAGCTGGTTCACCTCCCTCTGGAGCCAACGGGTAACATAGAAAATGTTAATACAGTGTACCTGAGTGTGTGTGTGTGTGTGTGTGTGTGTGTGTGTGTGTGTACAGAGAAAAAAAAGGTGAACTCATGTTGAGATATTGACATGGCACTGATTGGCCATGTACGCGTGTGATAATCCTCAGTGCTCTGCAGAGTGCGGTAGCGGTAATCGAACCCGGACAGCAGTATGCCTGATGGATCATGTGACTGATCTCCCATTGGGCAACTGCGAAGGGGAACGCCCACCAGAATTGATATTTTGTGACTCAGGCCCGTGCCAAAACCAGCTGGAGTGGTATACAGGACCTTGGGGTCAGGTAATCCACATATATACATGCATGTAGTACTCAGAGACGCCATTCAAACACCATTCATTCACCTTACATGTGTGGGTTAATTAAGTGTTCTGCAGAGTGTGGGAATGGCACGCAGACCAGGAGCGTGGCTTGTATTTTCAACGACAATGGTCGCATGGAGGTGGTGGACGAGTCTAAGTGTTCTAGTCTGCCCCAGCCAATCACAGCTGAGACCTGCAGACTGAAGCCATGTGGTGTACAGTGGTATGTCACAGAGTGGAGTGCAGTAAGTGTCCCAAACTCTCTCTGTCCGTCTACCATGCATGTTATGAACCCATGTTGTCAGACACATAAATAAATCACAGTATTTGGGACATTTGATTATAACATACAGGGGTATTAAAAGGTCAGTTCACCCAAAACACAAAAAGACATATTTTGTTTATCTATTTATGGTGGCATCTAGCCATGCAGATAGACTTCATAATTCACCCAGATACTCAGTGAAGAGTATTGAAAATAACTGAAACATTAAATTTTAAAACCTCAACAACAAAAATAAGCATTTGACAAAACAATCCCAACTAAAGGGCTGCTTACTAGCTTTTCCAGAACTTTTAACAGTATCATATAGTCTTTACCTATGGATAGAGTCTGCTCAGGGTCATGAAGACGGACCTGCTGTTGACATGAAAACTCAGTCGCTAAAAGTTCTAATGATGAAAACATAAGAGCTACTTAGCTCACATGTCAACACTTCCATCTCCATGACAACAGAGAAAACTCCACTGAGGAAGACCATTCCTAGAAGAAGATAGTAGTGAACCTTGAGTTGTGATTTTTTTTTGTCAAATCTTAATATATTAAAACCTCTGTATAGTCCACAGAACATAATCTGGACAGTTTCATAAGGACTATTCTTAGTTGGTGAGTAGTTTAAGTGAAAAATGTTCTCAGTGATGTGTGCGGATTATCTAGAGTAACCACGACAATCTAGAAAGATACGTGGCTGTTGAGATTTACAAATGTCATTTTTCATTGTATTAAACTGTGCAAGTGAAATTCAGTTCAATTGTGTATTGTGTTGGGGCAGGAACAGACATTGCAGAGGCGAATGTCTCAAAATCTCAACACATAAAACTGAAACTACTTGCATGGCCAGATACCACTAGGGGTATATGAGAAAATATGTTTTTTTTCTTTGAATTTCGGTGGACCCTTTAAAAATGATGACTGCCTAGTAAGACAAACCAGTGCCAACTTCGTCCAATATATTTATGTTATATGTATGATACTACAACACTGGCATTTCAAAGGAAGTTCATAAGTATGATATGAGTTACGGTGACTAAATTGTGTCCTCATTCACATTCTCAATCCTCAGATTACGTTGTGTGTTTAATCTGTTATGTCTGCCTCTGCCCTGTCTTTGTATCACCTCAGTGTTCTCGTTCCTGCAACGGTGGCTACCGTGTGAGAGAGGTGCGTTGTCTTGCCGACAACATTGCCCCAAGCGACCGGTGTGACCCCAGTTCGACCCCAGAGAGTCGAGAAGAATGCAACAAACAACCTTGTGTAGCTGAGATAAGTAAGTCTAACGAGTAGTGTTGCACTAAGGCAAGTATAGTTGGGTTCACGCACCAGGGTCAGGGAGGACCTGGATGGAGTGAGATATGTGTGTGATGCTGTCATTGTTGAATGTTATCATGGTGAAGATGTTCATCACCTACTGCCACAACCAGGGCAGACATGACATTAAGGGGTTACAGTTTTTTATGACTTATGTATGAAAGAAACTACGGATATAACGTATTTGCAAAAAAGAAAAAGCAATTAAAAAAAGGTCTGTCGGTGACTTATCAATGCATTAAACAACAGGATATAACCCTATAATATGATAGTGATGCAGAGCTTTGGGAACATGTGACCTTATATTTTTAATGAAAAAACAGTCTTGTACCTTTGAAAGCAGCTCCATATGCCAAAATATTTTCAAGTGTTTGAACCACGATTTGTAAGCATTTAATTAATAACCTGTAACATAGTAATGTGATTCTTCTATTAATCAGGCTTTCACTGACCAACTTGCTCTGCAATGTTGGGTTCATGGATGCACCACTATGGTGACGGAACAGTGGAGCTATATGTCAGTTTAATCGAGCTAAAACAAACAACATTGAGCTGTGTCTGTGTGAGATCACACACTGGCAAATCCTCCCTCATGCATCAGAAAATATTTTTGATTTTAATAGTTATTGAAAGATTACAGGAAATCAGATAATTGTCATGAGAATAATCCGCTTTTCATTTTCACATCAGTAAATGTGCATTTTCAGTTTTAGAGTTAACAAAGGGAATTTTACTCTTTTAGCAGGAACATGTTGTCATACTCTCAACACGACTGCAGTACTGATGCTGCAGTACTGATACTGCCATGTATTGGTGAGAATTTATTGTGTGGGAATTACTTGGTCTCTGATTCTGACTTCAGTGCTGAGACCTTAAGACAGATTCCGTATCACTTTGGTGAATCTATTGAGTATTGAGGTCTGTGAATTGGTGCCAACACTTACAACTAGGAGTGGGGACAGAGGGAGGCGAGAGGGAGACCTGTGCCTGGGAAATCTGATTGATCATCTATGTCGCCCCCCCTACCAGAGTCAGGAGGTGATCGTTGGCTTATTAATATTGTGAATAGATTACTGAACTGGCACGAGTCAGGCCCCCTGTACCAGAGCCTCTGTATGAAGTGACTGTTCACATTTCTTGTTGGAAAGTCAATCAAATGACTACAAAAAAAAAAAGAACACAAAGAGACACAAAACAACTATAAAAAGATACATAACAACTACAAAGTGATGCACGACAACCACAGACGACACTGCTGTCTTCTCTGGTTCTTCTGCTCATATGTAAGAGGGGCGGACGACCTCTTACATGGCTGTAGGCTACTTAGGGTTACACATTTTCATTAATTTTACAAATGTGCCTCCCTCTTCAAAACTGTACCCCTAATCCTGACCCCCCCCCCCCATTAAAACGATTCTAAATCCAGTTCTGCTTCTAGCAAGACAAGACACAATGTAATCAGCCTAGGATGAAATTTGCTCCGCTTCCTTAATTCTCCTCAGTTTCTCTACCTTGTTTCTCTTTTCTGTTCCCAGATCCATCATGCAGTGACCAGTATCATAACTGTATGGTGGTGGTTCAAGCCCGACTCTGCATTTACCCTTACTACAGAAGTGTCTGCTGCACCTCCTGCTCACGTGCCCAGAAAACATACCCCAACTTATTTGAAAAGAACCACATCCACAGGTGATGCTGCCTCAGGACACCTAGCTCTGTTTGGAGAGCGCCTCAGTGCTTAGATTATAGTTGAATATTCTGTCACTCAGTCTGCAACAGATTAACTGACCAGGTAATCAACCGCCTTTTTCTGTTTTGTGAACATGGCCATACACTCACCACAGCATGAATACTGCTGTTGAAGTGCTGTTTCATTTGACACCAAACCGGATGAAAATAGCCTGAAACACAGTCACAAAATTCTCACTTTCTAAGAATTTCACTTTGTATAGGTTTTGTGTTTTCTGAGTGTTTTCATACTGGACTGGTCACATTTGGTGATCTACTTATATTGTATATTTATTCTTAATAAAAAAAGTGTATAACCTCTGGTGCTCAGCTTTTCTTGTTGTATTATTGCAGAGGTTACTAAAATGACTTGAATCAACAAGCTGTCTCAGAGGCCCTGCCAAATGCATCTGCGGATACACACTGTTCATGAAAGTGAACATGATGGCATCTTTGTTTTTCAAAAAAAAAAAAGGCTCAAAATGTGGTTTGAGCCTAATTAGTCACACCCCATGCAACTGACTTCACTGGCCGTAGGAAGTTAGGACACTTAGGAAGCGGTGGTCTTGTGATCCGTAATTAAATCAAGAGACACTTTAATGGATGGTCAGGTTGGCAAATTGCATCTGTTTAACAAAGTGAGAAGGATTAAAGGCTGTCACAGACGAAGACTTATCAAGAACTTCTGCATCCATTGTAAGAGAGTTGGTCTCAGATGATGCCGATCAGTATGTACAGTATTTACATATCACGGGGTAACATTAGGTGGGGATTTGGCGAAGTTTAGACAACAATTATGTATGTTGTCTAATTGGGGCGCCTCGGTGGTTCACCCTTACTCCTAACTGCAGCCCTCTCTCTCGCTCCCTGAATTTCCTGTCTATCTCTCACTGTACTGTCCAAATAAAGGCAAAAAAATGCACAAAAATATAACTTAAAAAAAAAAAGTATGTATGTTGTCAATTTTACATTAAATGCTGTAAACATGACTAATTACACATGAGTTCAGAAACACTAATTATTATTCGTTTACTTTCGGCAACCTGATCTTGATCAGGTTTAAAAACAAACAATTTTTTTCTTCTTTGCTTAGAGTTAGGAGAGAACAACACCACTCTTGTATCTGCACACCAAATATGAAGCTACAGCCAGCAGCTGGTTAGCTTATCTTAACAGAAAGATTAGAAGCAGGTGACTGCTATCCTGGCTCCGTCCAGAAGTAATAAACTCTGCATAACTACAACATAGAAATTGAAAAATGACAAGTTGCAGTTTGACAGGGAGTAATTTACAAGAACTTTTATTGGTCAATCCAATTAGGCTCCAACGGTTTCTTGACAAATTTATCAAACCCTTATCGAGTTTATAGTGATTTATATTTAGATGTTAAGTTGTTGTTCAATTATATTATTATTTGATATGGCACTGTTAAGCCATTCAAGAAATGTCTGGTCATGTGGCTAGCAGCAGCAGCAACTGGCTTGATAGCATTATCTCACTGTCATATGATTTATGGATTTTTCTAGTCAGTTTGTATTGTTATTACAGCTCTAAGGAAAAAGCTGAAGGTTCTATAAGCGCTCTCGTGTGTGCTTTGTTTCCTCCATAAAATAAAGTGTATAAAAGATTGCCAGATGCCGCCCAAAGTCTGAGTGTGCCAGGCACTGACAGAGGAAGAATTCAGATCCTTCACTTGAATACTGTGAATGTAGTAACACCACACACGATACTTGAGTTATCAAATGTGAAAGTATTCGATGCAGAAAACTGCCTCCTCTGACTGTTACACTACTATATCTTACTACTTTTTAATAACTGATGCATTCACGTGTAGGCTAAGAAGTATTTTACTGTTTTAGTTGGTTGAGGCTGATCTAATTTTTAGCTTTGTTATATAACATTGGGTAGTTTCATCTATAACAAAGATTCATATTTTATCTCATCACGTTTTGTATGTAAAGTCATAATTTGTAAAGTTACAGCTATTGGTACTAAATAATAGCTGGAAAATAATGTGGAGTAAAAAGTACTCTGTCTGAAATGTAGTAGAATGGAAGCAGAAAGTGGCACCAAAAAAACTCAACTCACAAGTACACGTGCCTCAAATTTGAATATAAGTGCAGCACTTAGTCCACAGACTCAAAACTAAATCTACAAGCCTAAAGCTGTTTGCTTTTGTTGACCGAGGGCAGAAAAACTCACCAATACACTGAAAAAACAGCAATTCTACTTTGCGTAGTTTGAGAAAATGTTCTCCTTCCTTGCCCATCCACTATGTGTGAAAAGAATTTCCACGGAACTGAAAACATGGTGAACATGTTCATACTGCACATGCACCACTCCATTCAGTCAAAAAGAGATCGCTATAGCTTTGTACTCATTCAAGATAGTAATACCATTGCTTTAATGGGACAGCCGGGCTGACAGCATGTAAAAGGCAATAATTCAATCACGAGAACTTAAAGCACAAAAATAAACAGTAAATGAACACCAATGACAATGCACATTGCATTCTCCGTTTCTCAAAAAACAAATTAAAAATAGCATGGGGACCAAGACTCTTTTACATACACACTCTCCCATCTTGTAGCTATACATAATCTTCAGTAATGTTCCCGTGTTGCTCCAGAGTCTGTGTCCGTGGATGCAAGGCTGCACTGGTAGGTCAATGCTAGTGGGATGTTGAGGATGTGTGACAGGAAAAAATCTTTTGGGTGAGCCTGGGCCTTTGGCATTGAGGGATGCAGGGTCCACATTCACCAATAATATCCACGTCTGACAAAATTGCTTGGACACCATTACCCCAAAAACATTCAAGGCTCTCTTATCATGCTGATAAACCTTAACCCTTCTCTCTCTCTCTCTCTATATATATATATATTCTTTTTTTTAACTCATTGACACCATGCTGGATTTTTTGTGAACAGAAATGTCAGCCACTTGTCTTTTTTGCTTGTTTTTTCCTCTTGATAGCTCTTTTTTTGCGTTGTCCTTGGCATTGGGTACCAGACAGTAAGACGTTAATGTCATTGTTACTGAAGAGTTTAACAATAAGCTCTCTAAAAGCATTACCACATCACCCACCCACATCCCCTACCCCAACCCTCCCTGCCCTAGAATTGAACAGTCACAATTTGTACAAGTCAGTTCTGAAAATACAATGGCAAGTGATATTTTCCACTAAAGTTTCATTGTGAACAACAAAAAATATATTTCACTCCCCATCTGATTTGTTCAGCTTATCAAATGCAATAACTGGTTTTGTTTTCTCTGTAGCATCGTACCAACATTCACTGATTTCAATATTGTAGAAGTTTTACAAAGACATAAATATAGTAGGATACAATACAGTAAAAAATACAAAATAAAGTTGATATAGTTTTTTCTTAAATGATAATTTACCAGAGGCAAACCCAGAAACGGATCTTTGACACTAGGCAAAAAACACTAGAATTACCCCCTGAGGTCAAATGATAAAAGAATAGCCATGTCTCAAACCAGAGCTTAGTCCCGGATAACTCACTACTTTTATGTTATTGATAAGTAGTGTACTATGTACAGGACTATAGGCAAAATGTGGGTGTCCTGTGTGGCACATAGTCAGTGTGTACTATGCAAGTGCACTAGTTTTTTGGGTGTTATTACTATACTAGCGAGACATTAAGCTAAGGAAAACTTGAAGGCACAATTATCTGAGGCAGAATATGCCTCGAGAATCAAACACAACAGTTGTGGTATCAAGGGAGCAAGATTCAAACAAGGAAAGAACAAAAGGGTAAATAAAACAGTTTACAGTTTCAGGTATGGTTTAGGTCTGAGAACGACGAGGCAGTGAATCAAGTTAAGGCCAAATTACTTAAGATCGTCCACCATTCAGAACTCTCCAACAGTAAAAATGATGTTAGACCTGACAAATCACACAGATTTGCATTACGATATCAGTTTTTATACCAGAACTCTTTTCAATATTTTGTCATAGCCTGGCTCGCTACATAGATATTTCTTCTCAAGGTTAGGTCAATTATATTAAACGGCTTTTTTTTTGCTCTTCTTTCAGAGGTTGTTATAATGCACACTAATGTATAAATGTATGTTACAAGAATATACATGGGCTTCAGTCTATAATATTTCACTAAGGAGTACATCCAAGCATTCAAGGTGAGGACTTTGGCTTTGAAAAGTTAGTCTACATATGCACAAATATGAAACACATGTAGAAAATGCACCATAGAAAAAAAGGACATGGAAAATAAAAGTAAAAACAGAAATGGACTAAATGGCTCACACACTGATCAACTATCACTTATGGCCACATGCTCACACAGAACCATTTCCTCTCAAACAAAATGAGAACACAAAGCAAAAAAAAAAAAAGTTTTCAAGTTTCACCTTTTCATACCCCTCACATTTTATCTGCGATCACAGAGTTGTTCAGGGTTGAAAAGGAACAAGAAATACAAAGAGGAAAAAAGAGTAGGGTTTGGAGGGCTTCAAGGGGTAAAGTTCAAGTTTGTCATTCCTCATGTGCAAGTCAATATAAAAATGCTACAACTCTTACAACGCTCTTGTCAACAAGACAGGTTCAGGGCAGGCCAAGTTCCCCTGTAGTTTGCTAAATAAAAAGGGGCTCGGAAATTGGCAGGACAGCTTGCTTAATCAGTGATGCAACGTACAGTCTCCACTCCCTGTATTTTTTTCCGGAGCTCTTCACCTCCTCCGTCTATCTACTCATGTAAAGGAAGAGCAACTGTGGGAGTCCGTGTCGTTACATCAAGAGCCAAAACAAGATCTCCATCCTTTTTCTCTTCTTCGGCAGAAGAGTCATCTTTCTCCTCTACTCTGAAATGTCATTCCTCAGTCTTTCGTCCCTATTACTTCGGTTTAGGTTGGCTATCCCATTTGTCTAGTTATGCCTCCATGTGTCCCTCACTCGCTGTCTGTCTCTAGGTCTGAATCAGACCACTGCACTGGGCTCAGTTTCCCATGGCGCTGGGCATACTCAATGACTGCTGTGTAGCAGAAGTAGTACTGGTCCCAGGTCTGGATGCTGAAAGCCCTCTGTGTACGCATCCGCCGCACCGTCTGACGGACATCTATTGTGCCAATGTCCTCCAGCCGGGACAGGCAGATATCCAGTGTACAGAATGTGCCTATATAGAGAGCAGGGAAGAAGAGCAAGGTAGAGAGGTTACATAAGGAAGACTTACAACAACAAACAAGCAACAGGGGAAAACTGAATGAGTTCTTACCCTCCTAGTCTATGTGTCAGGTAAACCTATATAGTTCTGAGATCAATTTTTTCCTTCAGAGCTGTATGATTTCTTAGTAGCACAGGCTCAAAAACATGTTGGAGCCACTAACCCACCTTAAACAACATTCTCAGTGGCTAAATGCGTCTTGCCAAATTTTCCATTTATTTTAACAGTTACTCCATCTCTAGATTCTGTCTGTATAACAAGAAAGGACTATATAACTCAAAGGGAAGGTGGAGTAAAGCGCATCTAAGACAGTAGATAACTAAATGGATAGTAAAAAGAACATTTGAGCTGAACTTGACGCATTCAACAACATTTCACACCCTTTAATATTGTGTTTACCTGTGCGGCCAATGCCAGCACTGCAGTGCACAACCACAGGGGGGCCTCCTGGAGGCCCCGTCCAGCTGGATCCCAGGCTCTGAACTGCAGCCTCCCTCCTTTGAAGTACATGTTCACGGAAGTCCAGCATAGCAGAAGCACTCTTGGGCACCCCGAAATCTGGCCAGCTGACATAGAGGTAGTGGCACACCTCCCGTCTCTCTCCAGACTAACAAAAGGTCGGACAGGTTCATAGAAGAAGAATAGAGCTAGACTTTAGGCTCATTCCTTTCAACTGGCATGTATGAGCCTGTGGGACAGTTTTCATGCCAAGTATTCTTGGCAGATCGCATGAAATCTTGCAAAGATTCCACCAAGAAAAGCAATCCCACAATCTAAAGTCTTCACAGTCATATCAAGTTATCTTTAGTTCAATTTTAAATACGTCTAGAGCCATCAAAGATACTCTGAGGTACATTTTATTATCTTAGATTAACAGACCTAGTTTAAGAATTTTCAGGTACTAACATGGTCACCATTATTTACCTGTGTGTTGTAGAGTTCAAGATGGGAGAGTTTGAAGTCCTGGAACACCTGGACATGTGTGTTCCTGACCAAGAAGTATCCGTGCTGTTCGGTCCTGCCCTCCTCAAGAGGCCAGTACTGACCACACTTGACACGTCCACGCTCCACGACCCTGAGACACACAACACAAATCACAACCTTTTAATCTCATCATCACCCCATCATGTTATTGCTTATTCTATGCAAACACTCTTTGTGCATCTCTAAAGCTAGACAGACACTGTGCGTTTTTTTTGTTAATCTTGTACGTAGTGTTAACTCACACTACACGTTTTTTACCTGCCTTTCTGCAAAGTCAGAACCTTTACCTTCTATGTCCACACTGTACGGATCATCTGAGCGACTATAACATGTCTCATGAATCTGATTTAACCAATTAAGGGTTAAATCAGACTTAATCCGTACAGTGCCTGCCCGGCTCAATTCATAATACACTCCTGAAATCAGAGGTGAATAAGCCTCACCTGGTGGTCATGACAATGATAAGTACCATCTGTTCCCACACCATACGCCAGAAGTCACCAAAAGTTTTTGGCAAAGGACCTGAGGGACACAGAAGTCAGTCAGATCGTGGTAACACCACATTGTTCCCTGCTATGGTTTAAGGAGAACTGAGTGGGGTTGGAGAAGAAAAAGTGTAATGTGCATGAAGGACTATATAAAGATAATTAAGAGTTTGTTTCAACAGCTGCTCACCCTGAGTTGCGATGTAAGCGTTGCTCCTCTTGTACCCATCCATGAAACTGGCATTAATGTAATCGGATGTCTGCAAAAACACACAGCAGAGATGTGGTGAGACTCGCTGCTAGATGTTAGGACTCAACATTAGTCTTATTAGTGGGGCTGACATATGTTTACATCACTATAGCTTTGACTTCTCTGTAAAATTACATTTTATGCCCACCACTTACTTGCAGTAAATGGTTAAACATTTAGATTGGAGTCACGCAAAAATGCCACTATATACAATGCATTATGAATCCAAAGCGGGTCCAGTCATTCTTTAACTTAATGAGATTCATTCATTTGCCAACCTCAACATTTGCTCTACAGCCAAATAACCTTTTTAATTCTTCTAAAGGATTTTTTACAACATGGGTCTTATATTTATAGTTTTAGCTATTATAACACAGTGCTCATTTTACAAAAATAAGATCCAGGTTGCCAAAAACAGGCCTTTCCTTTTAACCACATAAAAGCCACTGTGTATAATACTGCCAGTGGCTCCACTTTCCAATCACACATATCAGATGCAGCAGACAAGCACAGGTGAAAACATAATAAACAACAGACCCAATTGCTGACACACAAATGTTAGTCTTGTAATCTAATGTAACTGCTAACGCAACATCAAATCCACATTTATGTCTACAGCCAATCCTTTGCTGATCACTTCAGTGCTGACCATTAATTACTTATGAAAAAATATGCAACATATAACATTATAGTTTAACACATTATTTTTGTGTGAAAGTGAATATGACTGATGTTGGCAACTCTGTCACATAATTTAGCAGCAAACATTTATAAAATCACCTATCATCAACAAAGTCATTAAGGAATATTTGTCAAACATATGCATGAAATAATTCTAGGAGAAAAATTGAAGTTTAATTAATCAACTATTACCTCATCCTCATCATCAGACAGCTGGCAGAGTCGAACTCGTGACTGGTCCAGGCAGAGAACATCACTGTACCTGTTCTTAATCTGATTGGATAATTTCCTGTAAAAGCAGAATTGATTTCAATGTGAAGAAACATGACAGACTGAAATACTGGGCTGATGTATTCAAATCCGTCACATAATTTTCCCTTTACCTTGTTAGTGAGAGAGAAAACAAAGGAAGATACCAGTAGAAAGACAGAAGCACAAAGAAAAAAAAAGGAGCCAGGTGGATAGAATATATTTTCTATCTCTTACTTGGAGTAGTCAAAGGTGCCTGCTGGTGGCTCCTTGCGGATCTCCTCGTACTCCTGATAGATTCCTTTTTTCTTCTTCCTCTTCACATGCTCCACCAGCTCATGCACTGTCATGCCTCCCTGCTCTGGCATGTGAACAGACACTTCCATGCAGCGGTCCTCCTCATCAGGACCCCACGATGAAGACAGGGGCGGGGATTGAGAGGAAGGCTGGTGGGGTGGACGAGGCAAAGATTTCTGGGGCAACGGAGGTACCCCTTCCTCCTCCTCACCCTCCTCCTCGTCCTCCTCTTTGACACCCTCATTCTGAGATTCATGGGCAGAGTCTGTTGTCTTGCCATACACCGCATCCCCATCACCCTTCTGGGAAAGCGGTGTGTCGGGAGGTGTGTCTGACTGGGGAGGAGCTTGGCGGCCACGACCATTCATATTAGCATTGAGGCCGGAGCCACTAACAGCCATGTTGGCTTCGCTCACAGCTGAGCCGTTCCAGTGTTGGTGGTTCCCCTGCGGCCTGTTTGCAGCAGAATGTGGGCTCTGCTGGTACTGGCCTGGGCCTCGAGTCCTGCCCTCCACCACACCGCAGTGGTTGTGTGGGTTAGCATTGCTATCATCGTAACAGTTAGAGTTGGCCACAGCTAGCTCAGGACCTAACTGCGTATTTATATGGGTATGGGACAGTGTAGCGCCTGCGCTTGTGTTGCTACACTCCAAGCTGTAAGAGCGTAGCAGGCTTCCCACACAGTCATGTGTGTCATGTTCTTGTGTGTCACCCTGAACAGTGTTTGTGTGAATGTTAACACAGGACTGGATCCAAGCAACGTGGCTATACTGGGATGTCCCACCCAGGTGCTCAGGAAGCGAGGAGACTGGGATGTGACTGGCCAACTCATGAGCTTTCACCGTGCACACCTGGTGATTGCAGAATGAAGAAAACACGATTCAAACAACAAATAACGAACACATTACATATTATGACATAACCCCCTAATAAAAACAGACACACATACCCTTTCTCTCAGCTTCTCACGCACAAAGAGGCGGAGGACTGCAAAAGGCGCCCGAAACCAAAGAGGTGATGACACAATGAAGACACATTTTAGACGGGCTGGAAATGCTCCCTGGGAAATACAAGCATCAGACAGACAAAATGATGAAAATGTTTTTAATTTCCAAGAGACAGTTTTAACACCAAAAACCAACAGAGGATGATCTGGATATTTACCTTGAGCAAATTGAGGATCTTGACACAGAGCTCATAGTCAAAATTGCCATAGCTGGAGTTGGTCATGTCGTAGATAAATATGAGCCCGTCTCTTTGAGTTTGTACACTGGGGAGAAATCAAGAAGATTTTTCAATTAAAAACAGAAGAGGCTTGCCATAAGAATAATTTTATAATTTTTATAATAACACATGCTGGGAAAAAATAAATTGGCGAAAAACTCTATCTGAGATCCTGACACCACTAATTAGTAGCAAGTAGTAAAAAATTGGAACTAGAAGACAAAGACTAAAATAGCAACAGAAAATGAGAGAATTTAACAATGAAGGACAGAGAGGAACAGGTGTACCACAACACCAAAGTAAAGTGCAGAAGAGAGAGAAAAAAATTTGTTTATACAAATGGTTATAGTTCGGACATCACCTCTCTATGGCTTTGTCCAGCTGATAGATGATGGCCTGAAGCACAGCTTTGTGGGTGGTGACGTCTGGCCGATGGAGACGAGCCGTGAAGAGCGCTAGAGCAGCACCCTTTGCATCACGGCCCGGCTGGTAGGGACATTAACAGGCCATCTCATACACCAATGCAAATTCACTCTGCTTCCAGGCTATGATATCTGACAGTTCAAATATACTTTCAATGATATAAAGTCAAAACAAATCAATTTTTACTTGTCGTAATCATAATCCATAAGGAGACACACAAGCATACATGTCCACACTGACAAACACACAACCTTTTCCTCAATGAAGAGTATGTGCATCATTTTCTTTGTATCCAGGGATGTAATTGCTAAATGAAGTTCCTATGTGTGAAGTGGCCAATAATAACTTCACTACTCACCAGGACTGTAAATTTGCCACTCAGCAGCTCAGAGCGTAGGGGCTCCTCGTCAGGGTTGATATTGATGATGCCCTCTTTGATTCTTGTGTTCTAATGTTGATACATGATGGCAAAGGTGGGGGAGAAAGAATGCAAGCATTAGCTTGCAGCTAAGGTAGCATGCAAACACATTTATCAGCACCAGACATCATAAACTTTAATTCTGTCATTGTTTATTATTACTCTGTGGTCTGGCAGACCCTTTTATTTCTATCCCAGTCTGTGCCTTAAGGAGTAATGCCATTTTGTCCCACCATAGCATACAGTAACACCACTGAGTGCAGCCTCAAAAAATTACAGCACCTAACACAGAATTAGCAAAAATATAAAACAGCTTTGCATGATAGTATTTGTTGCTGAGATTTTACATTGGGTTTCATTAGATCGTCATGATTATTTTGAACGTAAAATATTGAGTCATGTAGTATACTACTAATGTAATATCTTAGTAATTGTGACCTAAATCTTTTTATATACTTTAGAAAACTTTATTTAAAAAAGATCCCTATGAGGATTGCTGCCAAGCAACTGCATTGATCTGTCTGATTCCTTCTATTTTGGTATAAACTTGTGTGTGTATTGAGTACACCTGCAAATAAGCCTGGATCTTACTTGGAGGTGCAGAAACTTTTTGCAGACTGAAATGTAATTGTTATACTACTCAGAAAAAGTGCAATTGGATATTTCCCCCAAATTCTTTAGCTCTAATTAAGTGCTGCATTGCCATGTTGATAATAGAAAAATAGTTGTATCAGTTGTGTCACCAATCAAAGCACTGCTGTACCTTGTATGCTTGGAAGAGGTCGATGGCTCTGGAGACGTCAAATTTGCGGGCCATAAGAAACTTTACAGCGGTAGGTTGGGAGACGAGCCCAGCACTGTGAGGTTGCTCCCTGCTACGCACCTCACTCAGGAACTCCTCCACAGCCTGGACAGACGTGAGGGGGAAGATGAAGAAAAAAGGTGAGGTGTCAGTGTGTGAGGAGAGATTAAAGCAGAAAAACTGGAGGGGGACAACCAAAGGAGCAGAGACTGTTGAAAACACACATAAAAACTTGGAATTTAGGGAGGAGAACAGGGGTGACAACTGGCATGACAAAGATGAGACACAAAACTGAGCCCCCTCAGCTTTGTAGTTCTTTCCCTGCCAAAGTCACAATAATTTTGATACAGATGGCAGCAGCAGGCTGTGCTCCTCGAAGATGGAGTGGATGAGAGCACTCATATGCCAGGAGACAACAGTCAGCCTGTTTCCACCCAAGTGGGCTGCATCTGTCCTCTAAATTTGAAACCAGCAAGAGGAGAGTACATGAATGGGTACAACAGATTACTTCATTAGCTATGTACAAACCCTGAATCTACTCTCTCATAGGACAAAGAATAAAAAGTGGATGCCAAGTGAAGAATTAATCCAAATACAGGGCTTTCCTATGAGTTGTTTGGCAGACTTGGTAAATCACCCACATTCTGATGCATCTCATGATCAGTTTTGTTATTAGATGACGGGCTAAACAATAGTCACATTCATTCAATACATAACATTTGCTGTGTAAACTAGCAACTTCACTCCCTTTTTCCTGAATGTGAAATAAATAGATAGATAGATAGATAGATAGATAGATAGATAGATAGATAGATAGATAGATAGATAGATAATGTTATAATATCAGCAGAGGTGGTCTTAAATGTGATGTGAATAAACACTATAGGAATATATCATCAGGACAGTCACACAGGCGCTCACACAGAAATTTTGATTATTTATCCAGTTACAAAAACTGGATTCTGTGAAAGATTTGTGACTCTCAGACTTACATAGCCAGAACTAAATGCCAAGAATGTACTTGACTCAATGCTGTGACAGGACACATATTGTAATAATTGCGTACACATACACATTCAATAAATCTAACCAATACCTAGTCCTGGCATTTAAAATCAAGGCAAGAGAAGCAAAGGAATCACATCAGACACAAATGCCAACCTCTAAAGGTACACTGCCTGATTTAGTGTCACTGACACCACCTAAGTTGGCATTGTACATTTTTTATCATGCAACAATTATTTTATCAAGTAATTGTGGGTTTTGACAGGATCATCCTTTGCAAGTTTTGTTACTGCACCACAAACCCCCTATTTAAATGATGATCACGTTTAAATTTTCGCTTTTGGGGCAAGGCACGTCTGGGAGGATACGTTTAAATCACACCTTTATATCATAAGAAATCTGGATACCGGTATATACACTGTATATTGCCACCAGTGACAGAACATCAGCACCAGGGTATGGCTGCTAGCCTTGGTAGGATTATACAAGGCAAGGCAACAAGTCGCCGATCTCAACAGCGAGCAAACACCACAAACATTATGTACTCCAAGTGTCCTCAGGGCAGTTAATCGTTTGACGTTACTGGGTCTGGTAAAGTGATGGTTAGCCATCAAGAAAGAAACCAACAAATCTGGGAAGCAATGCGAGCGCGTCCCGTTACTTAGCTTACTTATCAGTTAACCTTGTGAATGCTTGATTAAGATAAAACAAGTAGCCATAAAACGAAGCTGTCACCACAATCGCGGTGTGACATTTGATATTTGCTATCAGTGTCAGGCCCACCCCTTTACTAGAAAGTGATGGCAACAACAATGCTAGGAACAGGAGGATCACTTCTGTGAATTCGCGACCGTAAATCTGATAGACAGGACACTGCTAGCTAGTGGGCTCATAGCAAACACTCGCGTTGTGCGATGAGACTCATGATCTTGGTCTGTCTTCACTGTGTCATGATGCATAACGACAACTGACAATTAAGTGAATCATTGGTTAGTCATTTTTGACCTTCACACTTGGTGCAATATATTTTTTAACGTCTGGCAAGATAGCTGTCGAGGAAATTCCCTGCAAGTCAACAATAGCTATTAGCATTAGCTAGCGGCTAGGTTACATGTGGTGGCTGGATGGCTAACGGTAGCGTTAAAGACACTAGAAGCACTATGTATGAGGCTAATCGCTCGTATGGATGCAACACTAGTTAACATAGGCGATATGAACATATCTATGTGGTCCATGTAAAATTGGGTTATTGATTGAACGAGTATTCGTGATACACAGCCGGTTAAGTGGTCCCTACTACTAGCTACTAGCAAACGCCATCATGCTAACACACATGCTAACTGCTGTCAGTCACACCGGAGCCAGGGTGCGAACGGGCCAGCGCTGTTGACTAGACACACATCGTTCCCGGTTACAGTCACCATGACAAAATATATGGAAAAATCGCCAGTTAGAGAAGAAACTGAATGTGACATGTGTAAACACTGAATATGATGGGGGTATAAGGGAAAAAGTCCGTCAAGAGACCCTTACCAGCTGCTCCTGAGCTGTCAGGGCTTCCGCCATCTTGAAGCCTCCGCAACGTCGCAGCGGGCGCGCCCACCAGCCGCTCGCTCACTTGCTCACGCCAGAGACAGGGACCGAGGCCCCGCCCACACCCAATCACTTTACCACACACCCATCAAAACTGTATTTATCAATACAGTTTACCACATCAAAACCTGTTTATATCAGTACACTTTACTATACACTGCTCAAAACAAGTATCATCGCAGTTTAGTACCTACAGTTTGTGAAAAATATTTTTTTCTACTGACAGTGGCAAACTGATTGCAAAAAAATGTATCAATACATTCTACCACAGACGATACATTTTTTACCATTCACATAAACAGAATTTATGACTATATTTTACTACTGACTGTTTACCACTGACATTTGAGTTAAAAATATGCATTTGATAAGATAGTTTTACTACAAACAACAATAAACCTAACTTAAACTATATTTATCAATCAATTTTAACTACTACTACAAACTGTATTTGCCATTCAGAGTTCATAAACTGATTTTACCAAAGACAGTTAAAATTGAGTTGTATTTATAAATACAGTATTTTTTTTAATACTGATTGTTCATGAACTATTTTCTATACAGTTTACCATAACAGTTCATAAACTGTATTATATTTTACTGTGGATCGCTGATAAACTCTATAAACCATACATTTTACCACAGACAATTCAGACATCAGATATCCAATTATTAGACAATGTTTGTTTCATTCAACCATAAACGGTTAATTTAAATCATTTTATTCATTCAAGTATTTCATCGAAAGACAGTCTATTTAGTATTATTAGAAGTATTATTAATATCAGTATTACTATTAGTTGCAGCAGCAGCAGCAGCAGCAGCAGTAGTAGTAATAATAGTAGTAGTAGTACGTAGTAGTAGTAACGGATAGGAACTTTCGTATTCGAGCATTTATTCCGTCGAACTGTTTTTGTGAAACACCAGGGCGGTACTCTGGCGGTTCTTTTGATTTCTGATTTACTCAGCGCTGCTCAACAGGAAGAAAATATTTATACGTAGCGACATAAATAAGTAATTCTACGGCAACGCTTGTTTTGGCTTAACCGCTGACCTTTGATAAACATTGTTAAATAGAATTTATAAACTCGTGTCAAGAGAGAAATCAATGTCATGTTAATTACCATCCAGCCACTCACACGTTTGTTGAAAGCAGTAAAGCCTCATCAGTATGAGCACTTCGGGTCCTCCTCTGAGACAGAAAAGCTACATGGGGCAGCACCAGATCAAGAAGAAAAAAAAGTAAGTTTAAGTGTCACTTCAATTATAATGTTGGCTGATTTAGAAGAATTATGACCAGATTCCTTTTTCCAGGAGACCTCTTCAAATCTTTTTAACATTTCTATTTGTGAACAGCAGTTTTACCCGTGATGAACGTATATTTTTGTCTGAGCACAGCTTTCAAGCTCCTGCTGAGCCACTGGATGAAGATGGACTGTTGCAGAAAACCCGTTATCTGTCAGACAAAACTAACAGATCAGAAAACATAGGCAGAGAAAGCCTCATGGTGAGTGAGACAGCATGAGAGAAAGTTTTTGTTAACTCTTTTTTCTCTTCCACACATAAGATAGATCACAAATGACCTGTACTGTTTTCTTATTTGTCTTAGGGTGGAGGAGCAGTGTTCCCGCTGGGAGAATCCACATTAGCTCTTGATGAAGAGATGCTGCAGGTGCTGGATGCTGTCGACCCTGTAAAGCCTGCAGCTAACAATGCTTGTCTACCGACAGTAAACAGAGACACACAGGAAAAGCCAGCAGTATCATCAGCTGCCTTTGTCCCTTTGCCACGGTCTCTTGCAACAGTTCCACACAATAAGAGGGAGGGTGACAGAACACCTGTTCAAGCCACAGGCCGAGGAGCCCACCGAGCCCCCAGCACCCAGGAGAGAGTCTGTTGGCTTAGCAGTGATGGTAAGAGACCAGGATGGACAGCCGACTGCAAAGACCTCGCTCAGAAGCTTCTCTTCAGCGAGGATTCGGAGGAAGCGGAGCGTGCTCAGAGGGGTCCAGAAAGCGGCTGCATTAATGGGCCACCATGTCAAGAAATAAAAACCAGTCAGCAAGCCGGCAGCTCCAACAAGTGATTCTGAACTTCCACATTATTGCCTAGTTTTTCTTTTGTTTCATTAATCTTCTGTACTTTTCTGTGACCAAATGCTTCTCTCTCTCTCTCTCTGTGTTTCAGCAGGCAGAAGCGTTCATCCGGAACAAAGGGTTCTCCTCTTGGCAAAGAGGAAAGTGGATCAAGTAAAAATGCCGACCCACCTCTTGATGCACGCAGAGACTATATCCTTTTCAGCCCCACACGTCTCGCAGCTGCCATGAAGAGGGCCAAGCTCCAGCAGTCATTTCAGAATCAGTCCACCTCTGTGCTCACAGTCCCCACTGGATTAGAGCTCAGTTCTCTTAGTGACACTTTACCTCAGCCAGGTGAAGTATATTAAGCACAGTCATTAAACCTTCCCCTAGGCTGATATTTTGTTCCCTTTGTTCTTATTTCTGTATGTGTTATTGAGCAACAAATGTTCACACCTTCTATATGTCATGATTTCATGTCCATGTATACTCAGTCCGATTTGAACTGAAATACATTTATATTTTAAATTAAAGAGTGTCCCCAGTATAGACCCTGATATCAGTGTTCAACTGCCTCCAGTCTGATTTAATGCCATATGTAAAAGGAGTATGTTATGTGTGCTCTACTGTAGGCATTGCCTTATGTGCTCCCTTGGAGCAAGCTGAAAAGCTGCTGTTATCCAGTTGGGGTTTGCCAAAACCTGTCCTGGAACGCTACCAGAAACACGGAGTGACTCACATGTTTGAGTGGCAGGCTCAGTGCCTCACTGTTGGACAGGTGCTGCAGGGATGTAACTTGGTATACTCTGGTAAGAAAATGAATACAACAAGAAAGTGAGTCAAGGAGTCAATCATTGTCAATTGTACAAGTATCATTTTTGCAACATTTTTGCTTTTATTCCTCTGTTGTAGCTCCTTTTCAACTTTTATTTTCCTTCTTTTTCAGCCCCCACCAGTGCTGGAAAAACTCTGGTGTCAGAGCTGCTGATGTTGAAGCGTGTGTTGGAGACCAAAAGAAAAGCTCTTTTCATTTTGCCTTTTGTCTCTGTGGCCAAAGAGAAGATGCACTATCTTCAGGTGAGAGGGAAGTGGGCAGAAGGATACAATGAAGTTCTTATGGACTCTGTGTGTGTGTGCGTGTGTGCGTGCGTGTGTGCGTGCGTGCGTGCGTGCGTGCGTGCGTGCGTGCGTACGCGCATGCCTATCTCCATCTAACAGACTTGTGTCTCTGCACCTGTAGAGTGTATTTGAAGAGGCAGGAGTTCGTGTGGAGGGATATATGGGCAGCACTTCAGCTGCAGGGGGGTTCACGGCGCTGGATGTGGCTGTTTGCACCATAGAAAAAGCCAACTCTCTGATTAACAGACTCATTGAAGAAGACAGTATGGGTCTACTAGGTAATACATTTGTTGTAATTATGTGTAAAGCCAAAAAAACAGGTACACAGATGTTTTGATAATCAATTAATCGTTCTAGTCATTTAAATTTCCGAGTTTCTGAAGTGTGAGGATTTGCTCTTTTCCCTTGGAGTTATAAAACTGTAACTTGAGTATCTCTGGATGTGGGACTGGGACCAAACAAGTAATTTGAAAACTTCATCTTGAGTTCTTGGGAAGTGTGATTTGTATTTTTCACTATTTTCTGACATTCTATTGAGAAAATAATTGTTGAAAGTGTGTTATTTTTGTGCTACTAGGTATGGTGGTGGTGGATGAGTTGCACATGGTAGGGGATTCTGGAAGAGGATATCTGCTAGAGCTGCTCTTAACCAAAATCCGCTACATAGCACAGAAGCAGAGCACCACAGGGTCTGTTCGTCTGTCTATACCTTTGTCTTGATGTGCAGTGTTTCAAAAATCCTGTTAATAAGTTAGTAAGTCTGTTTTTTACATTTCTTTCTACAGGTCTCTGTCTAATGGTGTACAGATAATAGGTATGAGTGCCACCTTGCCTAACCTCTCCCTCCTGGCCAGCTGGTTAGGTGCAGAGCTTTACCAGACAGACTACAGACCTGTACCCCTGCAGGAGCATCTCAAAGTGGGCTGCAACATCTACGACAAGAGCCTCTCTGTGGTCCGGCCGTTCACTCCTGTGCTCCACATAAAGGTAATATAGATAGAGAGATCATCCAGTGTGTGTGTAATCTAACTGATGCCTATTTTCTCATCAGCAGTAATATAATCTCGTGCTATAATCTTTGCTGCTTAAAAGGGTGATGACGACCACATAGTGAGCTTGTGTTATGAGACAGTGAGAGATGGCCACTCTGTGCTGCTGTTCTGCCCCTCGAAGAACTGGTGTGAGAAACTGGCCGATAGTATCGCTAGAGAATTCTACAACCTCAGACGTACTGGTTTGTGAAATTTGAAAATGTATTCAAATAAAACAAAGTACCATCAGCACATATTGCATTTAATAGTGAGGTGATGTAAAACTGTTGCTTATTTTAAAGATAGCTTATGTTGCAGTGTGTTAAGTTTAGACTGTGGTGTTTGTCTTTCCGATCGTCAAGGTGACACCGGCCCACAGCCAGTGTGTCTGAATCAGGAGGCACTAGTGGACGTTATAGCCCAGTTGAGACGAACTCCTGCTGGGCTAGACCCCATCCTCCAGCGAACTGTGCCGTGGGGGGTGGCCTTCCACCATGCAGGTGAGTACCCTCGCATAACCCCTTAACCACAACAAACTGTGGACTGAATGTTAGGATCCTTGTTATCCTCTGTGTCAACAAGACGGAGGTTGTCTATGTTTCATACTTTCCGTGTAGGTCTGACATTTGATGAACGCGATGTGTTGGAGGGAGCTTTTCGTCAAGGCATGGTCAGAGTCCTGGCTGCCACCTCCACTCTCTCTTCAGGAGTTAACCTCCCTGCCCGCAGGGTCATCATTCGAACCCCTACCTTCAACGGACACTTGTTGGACCCACTCACGTACAAACAGATGGCTGGACGAGCAGGGAGAAAAGGAGTAGACACTACAGGTATGGAGAGAGGAGGGGGACAAAGAAAATGGTAAAGAGATGGGGAGAAGATGAAAAACATGATCAGCGGTCTTATATGAATGATCGAGCTTGTATCATTTGAAAACTTAATCAAAAACAGTTCTCTTCCTTGGTATCATGTCATTTTATTGTTCCCCTTCCAGGTGAAAGTGTGTTGGTTTGTAAGGAGGCAGAGCGTCAGAAAGGTATTAGTCTCCTTAACGGTGCTCTTCAGCCAATCAACAGTTGCCTGGTGAGAAGGGAAGGGGAAGGTGTCACCACTAGCATGCTGAGAGCCATCCTGGAGGTATGATTGACATTTAAATAAACATGCAGAAATGAACTACAGTCTGGATGTAGGTAATTTCCTGCTTATAGAATAGTTGTGTTGTGTTTGTTTACTCACAGTGACAAAAAAACAATCCCTTGTTTCCTGCCCCTAATTCATATTATCCCAAATCACAGATCATTGTCGGAGGTGTAGCCAGCACTCCACAGGATGTGAGGTTGTATGCTTCCTGCTCTCTACTGGCTGCCAGCATGAAATGTGACAGCAAACACAAATCAAATGAGCCCAACAACAAAGGGGCTATTGAGGCCTGTGTCGAATGGCTGATGGAGAATGAATTTATTAGCATCCAGAAGGACGGACAAGGTACTGCCACATTTGGCACAGTGCTATCTAATTATGTAATATGTATATTACTATAACTACTGTGTATCCTGTGACGTCTCTGCAGATCCAGAGGAACGGTACTGTCCCACTCAGCTTGGTGCTGCCACCCTGTCCTCCTCCCTCTCCCCTCCTGAGGCTCTAGGAATATTTGCAGACCTCCAGCGTGCCATGAAGGGCTTTGTACTGGAAAATGATTTGCACATTCTCTACCTGGTACACATGCACATATCTTGCATTATAACAACAACAACAACAACAACAATAGTTTTCTGTCAACTTTATTCACCTCCTGTTTTCCCTGAACCCTAACTAAATCTTAATTCTAGCTTTTAACGAAAAAAGGTCTCCTCCTCAAACTTACGAAATCCAGACCAGTCCTCACAAGCATAGTAATACGAAATTCTGTGTCGAAACTCTCCTCAGATCACCCCATTGTACGCAGAGTGGACTACCATAGACTGGTATCAGTTCTTCTGTCTGTGGGAACAGCTCTCATCATCGATGAAGAGAGTGGCAGAGATGGTGGGCGTCCAGGAAGGATTTCTCGCACGGTCTGTCAGCGGCAAACTTGTTGCCAAGACAGAAAAGCAGCGTAGACAGATGGCAATTCATAAACGGTAAAGGACGTATTTATGTTAGTTACACAAGCTATTTGTACTGTACATCAGTGTTGGCTATTACTCCTTCTCATCTGTTATTGAATTTTCCAAAATATCAACAATATGTGGCTTGGAAAAATGTTTAGTACTAAATTACAGCCATGCTTACACACTTCTGCATGCTATACACCGACGGTATACAAGGTGGCGCAAAAATAAGGCTTAAATAATATAATTCGGTGCAACATAATAGCTCTTCAATCAAGGTACCGCAGTGAAGAATACAGTTTTGGATAATTGTGATAACCAAATTCTGAACATTATATTTTATATGTACAGTTATTGATAACTATTACAGTATTTTACTCAGATGCTTGTGCTATTGTGTCCACCTTCCTGAATGCACATCGATGCACAACACTGTGGCCCTTAGAACAAACAAGAACAAATAAAGTTTTAGAAATGTCTGGATCACATGGGGCTTTTATACTTTCCATCATTTCATTGTTATCACTCTCCAGGTTTTTCACCACGCTTGTACTACAGGATCTGGTGAACGAGGTGCCTTTGGGAACAGTGGCATCTAAATACAACTGCAATCGTGGACAGTTACAGTCTCTGCAGCAGTCTGCTTCTACCTATGCAGGTACATGCTTAGGAGTGTTGCTGAGTAACCTGATGCATGAAGAAGCAGGAGCACTTTAGAATGATGTGTATACAGACTTCATTGCATTAGCTGATGTTTCAGCACCTATAGGCTTTCTTAAGAGCCATGCATCCATCATTCATAAGTGCTCACGCTTCTTGCATCATGTTACTGTGAGAAGGTTCACGAGGTACTGGTGTAATTTAGACTCAGTGGGCATATGCTTAAATGTGTTTGTCTGAATTTCAATCTATATCATATAAATGATGGTGCTTATTATCAGTGACTGATGCAGACACAGTAAGAAAGAGAACTAGAGCCAAAAAGCAAGACATTAGTTATTAAATGAGTTTAAATCACATGCTCAGTTGTGCACCTTCCAGAAACAGTAACTTTCTGCTATCCCTCAGGTATGGTAACGGTGTTCTGCAAACGTCTGGGCTGGCACAACATGGAGCTGCTGTTGTCTCAGTACCAGACCAGGCTGAGCTTTGGAGTCCAGAGGGAGCTGGTCGACCTGGTCAGGGTTTCACTCTTGAATGCAACACGAGCCAGAGCACTCTACGCACAAGGGCTCTGTACTGTTGCTGAACTAGCCAGGGCTACTGTGGCTGATGTGGAGAAAGCCTTAAGGAACGCAGTCCCATTTAAGAGGTAGGTGTGTGTATGTTCCTGTAAAATATAAATGCATGTGTTGTGACTAAAAACTAGACCCCTTAATACTTGGTAAAATATACCATCTTATTGAAAGGTCAGAATGTTGGAAATGTTAAAAAGTAGGTTGATGGGCTCTATGATGAGAGGCACATTTAACCATCCAACCCATCCTGGGCGATAATTATATCATAACAATGAACAATTCAAGAAGAACCCAATGAACTGAGGGCTACAGAGACTGAATTACATTGGATATATCAAGTATATAAAAAAATCTAATATATACTCATAAATAAATACCCTTTTTACTATTAAATATACACCAACTTCCTCTGTTGTGAAGAAGTCAAAGAGATAGAAGCAGGCACAGTCCTTTAAACGTCACTTAGACTAACCTAATCTCCCTGAAACATGAGCCCAAATGTAATGTCAGTGGTGCACTGTCTGTCCTCAGCTCTAAACGTGCGGTGGATGAGAGTGAGATGGAGGCAGCTGAGAGACGGAGCCTTCGCTGTGTCTGGGTGACTGGTGGACGGGCCCTGACGGAACAGGAAGCAGCCACTGAAATAGTTTCTGAGGCAAGGCTGCTCCTTCAGGAAGACCTGGCCCGGCTAGGAGTTCAGTGGGACCCAACAACACTTCCTCCTGGGGCTCCTGCTGTGAACAGCTGTGACAACCGTCATAGCAGTGACACAGAAACCTCATCCGTCTCATATCTCAGTTCACCTGAAGCACAGACAGAAAACACTAGAGACCACCAAGAGGGAGACAGGCTCAAGAAAAGCAAGGGCAGAGTTACTGACAGACATAGAGAGGAGGGTGAGGAGGAATGTAAGAGTGAGAAAATGGTGGCTGAAAGAAAAAAGGATAAACCAGACGGTGATGCCAGGAGAGAGCAAGGAAAGTCCAAACCTGCTGAGAAGGAAGGGGGAAAACGTTTGGAGGTGCACAGAAAGGAAGACAGGGCTGACCCAGAAATCGCACAAACAGATAATGTGGTGCCAGTGGAAAGTGGCAAAGAAACAGAGATGACAGAGACAAATAAAAAGCTGTCCATGGCAAATGAAACAAAAAATTGGTCAGAGAAAGAAGGGGAAGAGCGCAAAAAATCAGAGGAGAAAGGAGTCAAGAAAAGTGACAGTACAGTCTCAGCCAGACCAGGGGGTCAACAAGCCAAACGGCCCCATCCTGAAAGGAGCCTGACACAGGAACTGGCTGAGATTGTATCCAGCCCTCTGCCTCAATCGCTGCCACATCCTCAGCCCTCACCTCCTCCAATGCCGCCCCCACGCTTCAGAGCCCTGATGCCCCGGGTAGAACAACAACAAAGTGTTTCCACAAGGACTTTAAAAGGAGATGGTAACAAAGGGGTTGCTGCCTCACCTGTGCAGCCAGGTAGACTGAAGCACTCACGAGCCCTAAGCAAAGTCCTGCACTCGATACAAACTGATAAATGTCTACAAGACAGTGTAGCGAGTGCACAGGCATCCCACCCGGGAGCAACAGTTTCTGCTCCTACAAATGCAGACACATTAAATTCCCTTCCGTCTGTTTCTCCTGCCTCAGTTCCCTTATACTCTCCTGAAGCCAAGCGAAGAAGGATAGAGGACAGAGGGGTAGATAAGTTCTCATCTCCCGAGCTGTACGCAGGAGATGAGAGAGATGAAGAAGCTGGGGGAGACATTAAAAAGGGAGAAGAGAGTTTTGGTGACAGCTTTGAATTGGACACTCAGACAGAAAGAATCATTGTTCAACATGCATACCAAGACAGAGACGGGAATGATGGAGGAATGAATCAGGTGGTAGAAACAGAAGAGATAAAAGAGGGGGAAATGGTAGACACAGGCATAGAGCGGGAAGACGACACAGATGAGGGGAAAAATGGACCTGCCCCACACAATGCCTGTCCTAGATTCAATATCTCTCTCACAGATAGCCAGATGGAGCTCATCCTTAACACCAGCCACCAGGTGACTGACCAGAATCATCAGTTATGCATGGATTGCAAATAAGAAATACTGTATAATCAAATGATTTGCCTCTTTAATGATACACTGCTGTTTTCACAGGTTTCCCCTGGTCCCGGTGGTGGTGATAACGTGGATGAAGACAAAAACGAAGGTGGTGGTGGTGATGATAATGAAGCCCTCGATGCCAATCAGGTTGCTTCTGAGAGTCCTAACAGAAGCAGTAGCTTCCTGTTCGACAGCCTGTACGACAGCTCTCTGCTCGCTGGTCTGAGCCCACAACAGATCCTTGATCAGTCTGATGAAGAGGAATCTGAGTGCCATCTCCCATCAACCCAGGAGCGACGACGCAGTGAGCTTCTTGCCAACCAGGATGCAGAAAAGCAGGAGGCGATCCAATGGGGCGAGTCCTCCTTCAACCTGTCAGAGTGGGGCGACTCGCTGTTTGTGGGCGAGCATTTTCTGGAGAGGCAGAGCTTGCTCAGACATTCAGAGAGAACGCGACACGAGCAAGAAGCCCGCCATTGTCAAGCGCAGCAACCCGACGCAGACCATGCTCTGCCTGAGGAACGGCTGTCAAATTCACCTTCTGAACCCTGTCAGATACAGCCACAGCCTGACTGTATTGTAACTCCGAATGAGCGTGACAAGGACACAGCTAAGCAGTTCACTAATGGTCAAAATAAGAATAAACCAGGTGGGAGACAGGGAAGGATAAACAAAGAGGGTGAAAGTGGAAATCAGGTCGAGGAGGAAAAGGAAGCAAAAATGAATGTTCTATTGCCAGATAATGTGCCTCAAAGTACTGTTCATTGCAGCCCCGGTTTACAAGAGATCTTTGACCGTTGGCCTAGTATGTCTGACCAGTCCTGGCACAACACTACAACAGGCCACACAGCTACTCAAACACACACTACACACACTGCTGCTGCAAACACAGTGGATGCTCCTGATCTACCTCAGACTTTAATGCAAGTGAGCAGAAAAAGGGGAAAGGTAAATGTGCAATCTGCTGCTGCCGAGAGTGACTCTCAACCAGAACAACCCCCAACACATGACACTGAGAATGTAAGAGAGAGGCCCGGATCCGCTGGTGACCTTATTCCCCCCACCCCGGAAACGCCACCTGTCACACCCAGAATAAAACTGACCACCTCCTCGGTCCAGTCGCCCCTCACCACCCGGCCACTTAACCAGTCAACTCCCTCAACACTTCCTCCACGTAAATCAACTGCCCCAAAATGTCGTAAATCTCACCCAGGAAACAGTAATCATCTATCAGAGGCTGCCGACACTGAACAGCCTGATTCTATGCCTGATTGGAGCCGCAAACACCAGCTAAGGCATCCAAAGACTCTACCTGAATCAGAGCCGAAGTCTGTTCCGTGCTCAAGTTCAAAAACCAAACCTCCTCGACACTGTGCTTCTCCATCCTCTCCCCGGCCGAAGCCTCCCTCTGATACTGAATCGCCCGTGACTGACGAAGGCTTCACTCTTCAGCTGTCCCAGGATTCATCACTCTGTTCCAGCAACTCTGGGACCTTCTCCATCGTAGATGTGGCAAGTGAGAGGCGCCTCTTTGACACTTTCATTAAAGAGTGGAAAACAAAGGAACGGTACTCTCTGGCTTTGGCCTGTGAAAGGAGGGAGCACAGACAGCAGCCTGAGGGGGAGATAGGAGGGAAACACACAAGAGGTAACCACAGAAGTGACTTTAACCTACAGTAAAATGTGATGCATGATGAATGCAGTCTCCTCACCCATGCATGTGTTATCTGTGCAGCCTCAACAGCTCATCAGAAGCTCAACAGGACTGATGGTTTTCCAGTAAGAGACAGTGATGGACTGGTGTTGATTGGACTGTCTGTCTGCTGGGGAGCAAGAGATGCATACTACATATCTCTGCAGCAAGAGCAGAGCAAAGGTATCGACACACACACATACACATATACACACTTGCAAGCACACAATCGAAAAAGAAAATACTAATTCAGCTCGTCTTTTCACCCTCAGGCTTGAGCGCCAGTCTGGCTCCTCCTCCACTGGATGGTGATTTGCCAGTAAGTGAGAGGCTGGGGCAGGTGAAGGCCTGTCTGAGCAGGCCATTGGCTGGTCTTAAAGGGGATGTGATTGTCACGTATGACATTATCCAAGTGTACAAGACGCTAGTCCTGAGCTGTGGCATCAGCTTGGAGGGCAGCTGTGAAGACCCCAAGGTAAGTGCACACAGTTACATCTTTATCCATCTTTGTACTCAAAGTGCATACAGCAACAAGTGACATGAGATTATAATAAACAAAATACAAGAACATTCAACACAGACAAACATACACACAGATAATATTAATGGCAAAATCCTTTTTAAAATTATCTTCCTAAAAGCCTCTATTTTGATAAAATATGAGAAACAAACTTGAACCTGCAGCAAAATAACTCTCTTTCTTTAATGTTTACCGTAGGTGGCGTGCTGGCTGGTGGACCCTGGCAGTGAGGAGAGGACTCTACCCAACATGGTGACCGTCTACTGTCCCGAAGAATTACCTCTGCTGGATGGACTTGGGAATGCGCATGCACACTGTCCTCGTGTCAGGGCAGCGACCAAGAGTGTGCTTGTACACGCTGTCATGAACCATCTCACCAGCCTGCTGGAGAAAGACGGCATGCTTGGTAAAAAAAAAAAAGAGTGCACAATCAGTCAGTCGTGTAGTATTGTAGCAGCAGGAAGAACCGTGTTTAATGTTTTGTATGCATGTGTCAGATTTATTCAGGAGCGTTGAGATGCCCTCCCAGGTATGTTTGGCTCTGTTGGAATTGAATGGATTGGGCTTCAGTGTTAGAGAGTGTGAGAGACAAAAACATGTAATGCAGGCCAAACTCACAGCGCTGGAATCTCAGGCGTACAACCTGGCTGGACACAGCTTCTCCCTCACCAGTATCGACGACATTGCTCAGGTTCTATGCATCTCCTTCACTACTTCACAGCCATGTTTTTGAGCCAAATTCCAAATTTAGTCGTAGTTACAGTTCTCCAAACCTGTATATGCTAGGTGTTGTTCTTGGAGCTCCACCTGCCTCCAAATGGTGATGTGGGGGGATCAAAAAGTAAGAAGACTCTGGGCTATACCAGGAGAGGTGGTGGCAGAGTACGGCTTGGAAAACAGTTCAGTACCACCAAGGTAAAACTACTTTGCTGCAATCAAAAAATTACACAGTTTTTATATCTCACTGGAGGTGAAATATCCACTATGTTTAAACTGAAATTGAAATAATGTTGGCAGGACGTGCTGGAGAAACTTTGCCCCATGCACCCGTTGCCAGGTGTGATTCTGGAGTGGAGACGGATCACTAACGCCTTGACTAAAGTGGTGTTCCCCCTGCAGAGGGAGAAGCAACACCACCCTACACTGGCCATGGACAGAATATACCCCATCGCCCAGACACACACAGCCACAGGTAAAACACACACATACACAGATACAAGGTGATACTACACTCACCTGTTCTTACCATATGTAATGTATTTCATGTAGCCGCACCTTGATGTTATCGGTAAATTCATACTGTCGTGCAATATGATCTCATTTGAAGTAAACATACTGCATGCAGTGACCGAGCTCATTCTGTTGTTAGGTAGAGTGAGCTTCACTGAGCCCAACATACAGAATGTCCCCAAAGACTTTGAGATCTACATGCCCACAGTGGTGGGGGAGAGCCCTCCCTCACAAAACGGCCAAATGACCACCAAAGCAGGGTAGGTATGACCTATGAGCCGGTGGTTCTCAAAGCGGAGGGTTGGGACACAGTAAAATGCAAAATGTTTAATATCATTAAACAATATAAATGAACTGTTGTTCCAATCATAACCACCTCACTCATAATGTCCCACTCTAGTGGATAAATATCTAATAACTAATATCTAATCTACTTCACAATGAAATCAAGTGAATTTAGTTGCACTTTTAGTCTATATAAATACTCCAATATTATTTTACTCCATATACTCCAATGTTTTTTTTATTATTATTATTATTATTATTATAAAGTATTCTACCTTTGAGTTGATGCATGTAAACACTACATCTGTATTTGAAGTTACACTAACAAGTAGTAGGATTGTTAGGACTAGATGGTTTATCATAATAATGCTTTTACTCTTCTGTTGCAGAAAGAAGAGACGTTCTGTGGTTCCCTCAGTTACAGCTGGAGCTGCAGAACAAGGCCCAGCCTTCTCCGTCAGCATGAGACATGCTTTTGTACCCTTTTCAGGTTACTGTGATGAGACACTTATTTTGTGTGGGTGATCACCTTCTCTGTCTATAACTTTGTCTCAGACTGTTGCCCTGTCTTTTCGCACTGTACTGCAGGTGGGATGATATTAGCAGCTGATTATTCCCAGCTGGAGTTGAGAGTATTGGCTCACCTGTCCAAAGATCAGCGACTTCTACAGGTCGGTGGCTTATAGATATGAATGAATAGCAATAAAAAATATTGTATATCAAACATTAATAAACAGGTAAAGAAATGATGAAACCTCTGCGTGTTCACCAGGTGCTGAATGGAGGAGCAGACGTGTTTCGTTGCATCGCTGCTGAGTGGAAAAGTGTCGACCCAGAGACTGTGAAAGACAACCTCAGACAACAGGCAAAACAGGTACAGCTATGCAGGAAACAGACAATGACATGGACATGTATGTGCCTTTTCATTGGGAAGCTGACCAGTGTGTCCATGTATGTAACTCTTTGCAGATTTGCTATGGCATTATCTACGGGATGGGAGCCAAGTCTTTGGGGGAGCAAATGGGAGTGGAGGAGAATGATGCGGCCTGCTACATAGAGAGCTTCAAGGCCAGATACAAAGGTACACACATTTCCATTTCTGCTAGAATTATACAACTAGTTGTTAGGAAGGAATGTCTTTCATATCCTGTTTGTTTTTTTTTGTTGACATTTTGTTTTTCTGATGATATCAAAATATTGAGTATATATACATGTAAAGTTTTCCACAAATATTTAAACAGATAGCGGACAGAACAATTGAATTAGGGGCCGCATAAGTTCAGTTGTGTTACATTTCCACTCAAAAGACATTTAACTTCCATATCCTGTCTTCTTGTGTTTCAGGGATTAATGCTTTTCTTAAAGAAACAGTGAAGAATTGTATCAAGAGTGGCTATGTTCAGACTCTGATGGGCCGTAGGAGATACCTACCTGGAATCACTAACACCAATACGCACATCAAAGCCCATGTAAGTTTGATAGACCATCACAACTTGACAGAATTGATTTGTAACCTGTGAAATGTAAATTTCATTTTTCATTTATTCCATTTTTCATAACATCAGTGTGTTTCTGTCTTCCTCCCTCACTCAGGCTGAGCGCCAGGCAGTGAACACGACCGTGCAGGGCTCAGCAGCAGACATCGTCAAACTTGCCACTGTGAACATCCAGAAGCAACTGCGAAAAACATTTCCTGCTGCTCCACTGTCTCACCAGCACACACGCTCAGGTGACACACACTCAACGCTCATTCACCAATCAAACATCACATACAGTTACCTGCTGTATCACTTTGTATCACTGAATGTTTCACCTGCTGATAATTGCAACGCTGTCTGTTGTACAGCCAGGAATCAGTGCAGGGCTGGGACGTCTCAGCTGAGAGGAGCCTACTTTGTCCTGCAGCTGCATGATGAACTCATCTATGAAACCACAGAGGAAGATCTCATACAGGTATGAGCATTATTTGTCAATTTCTCCGTAGGTCTACTTTCCTGCTTACAAGTTCCAATATTGAAGATATTTATCTGAATATCCTTATTAGGAAAATATATGGTTGAAATATATATTAATAACTATCACTTAAAGCTAAAACGAAAGAGAGCCATACTCAATTAATAATGAACCTGATGCCAACAACAAAAAAAAAAGATTTTTGCATGGCTTTTTTCTTTAATGCACTGTATTTCCTGCACATTTTTTTTGGCACACATGGAAAAACAGGAAAACACTATATGTATACATCATTTTTTGTCTCTCACCCAAACCCCTCTCAGGTTGCTCAGATAGTCAAGAGGGAGATGGAGTCAGCAGTAAAACTCTATGTAAAGCTTAAGGCCAAAGTCAAGGTGGGACCCAGCTGGGGGAACCTGCAGGATCTGGATCTATAACGTGACTATTTTAATGTTTGATGCCATAATCAAATTCCATGTAGTTACTGCTTTAAGTTCTATGATATGTAAATACTATAATTTGTATAAAAATTAATATTTTTAATCAATACATTGACAATGATGAAATATAAAATAAACCCACAGTCAATGATTGCTCTATGAGCTGTAAATTAACTACTGAATGGATTTATAATTCTATTTTATGATGTACAGTGTCACAAATTATACATTTTTGTGAAAGAAAAAATCAAATTGTATTTATTGATATCTCAATACTTGACATGAGATTTTATGTAAGGTGATGTTCTGTTATGTAATAAATTGAAAAGTCTATTTTGAAAGCCTGTGGCTGCAACTAACAATCACTTTAATCATCTGTTATTGTGCTGATTATTTTCCCAATTAATCATTTTATCTATGAAAAGTAAAAAATAGTGAAAAAATGGCCATCACAACTTCCCAGAGACGTGTGAAAAAGTCGGAAACCCAAAGATAGTGATATATGGCAAAGAAAAGCAGCAGATCCTCCCAAGTGAGAAGCTGGAACTGGAGAAAGTTCAGCATTTTTTCACTACTTTTTGCTTGAAAGAATGATTGAAACAATTGTTTATCACAATGGTTTCCCGTTATTTTCCTGTTGATCGACTAATCATTTCAGCTCTACTGTGATGTATTTAAAACAAACACTCAGAGCAGCTTTAGTCTTGAGGACATCCTGAAGTCTCACATTTTATTGGACCATTGGTTGAGTTGTCTGTCACAAGAACATACATCATTATCATTGTCACTCATTAACACTGTTTTGTTTTACATTTATGACATTCACTGCACAAGAAGTGTCGTCAATATGATAGACATTTTCTGTGCAAAGCGAAATTCACCACCTCTGGCAATGGCCAGAGAAATGAATGTGGTCGAGGAATCAGTTTGTGTGAGTTTAGTCTTAATTGTTTTGAAGATGATAACCTGTTAGTGGGCTCTGTTCAAGTGGATCTCAATAACCTCAATATAAAAAGTTGGATTTAAGTGATTCTATTCAAAACTACATTGACATTTTTGCCAATACATGCCAATGAAGACTATTTCACTTTTCACAACCTTCTACTGGAACTAAATAGAAGGGCGATTCACACCCCTGGATAAACACTTTTAGGATGACATGTTCAGTGTTGATTAACAATTACCCAGTGCACCATGACTCAACAGAGCTCAACACAGGCTCAGTTTGACACAAAAAAGTGACAAATGAGTAACAAATAAATACACGCCATGGACACACATCCATAAACAAATGAAAGAAATAAATCATGAACAGCAAAGATTTTTTCTTTTAAAAAAAACAAGGTGTTTTAAGTGTAGGAGTGTAATTCCAGGTGTTGGAACAGTTGTTTCATGTCTGTGTGTGAAATAGCCATTGAACTCACACCATTACTTAATCTAATAAAGAACATACTGTTTACCCAAATGTGTTAACTGATGTCAGTGCCGTCATTACCTAAATATTAAATGAGACAGGTAAGACTAGCAGCTACAACTAATAGGTGGTTTTACCCATATTTTTAACCTCACCACACATCAGCTGCGTCATTTGAGTCAAATGACCGGGAAGAAATGTGATAAAAGTGCTGCTTTTTATGAAGCGTCGATGCTCGTCAATAGGACAGTGAACTATCCCAAAGAGTTGACATCAACCCTGTGATGAAGCACATCAAGACGCAGTGGTGTGTGATGTCCTTTAATGTTTGGGTAAAACCCATACCCCGTGATATAAATGTGTTTTCATGAGGCAGTCAAAGTGATGACAGAAACAGAACAATCATCTGCAGACACAATGATAATCAGTATCTTTGGTGATTTCGCCGTTGTCCACTGACCTGTTGCACCTTTAAATTTATCAACAAATATTGGCTTGACTTGTTGCTATGAGGGGAGACGACCAACAACCGGCAAATTCTGTGGCTGCCAATATTTTCAAAACTAATGAGAGGACTCTGAGGAAGAAGATGTGATGTCTACACACTACAAATCCACTTCACTGCTCCAACAGTCCTGGCAGATTTAAAACAGACATTAGACTAATGGGGCTGTATGTCAGGATTATGCAGGTTTCTGTAAACATTGTTTTTAGTCAGACTCACTGCCACAAACAGAAAAAGGTTATTAATCAATTAAGGCATCGACACAGGTGGAGCTGTGCGTTTCACCAGAGTAGAAAACAGAACAGAGAAAATATATGTACACAGGTACAGTTAAGTGCTACTCAAGCAGCCTCGTGTTCCACTGGCTAGATCTGAGGCAAGAAAAACTGGGACCAGGACTGGCTTTTTCTTGCTCCATGAAGTACAGGGGGGGGCTTGTGCTGGGGCCAGGAGCTTTGCCCATGTCAGGTAACATCCTGAGGGAAAACTCTTGGCCCTGGCCCAGGCTATTGGGGTACAGTAATTTACATGAAAGGGAAGTAAGGACACAAGAGGTTTGAGGACGAGATTTAGAAAGGTGTCAGGGCGTCTCTCCATCGCGGGTGAAGTAGTACCTGACAGGAGGACCAGGGAGGTCCTCGTCCCCATCTGCCTCCGGTGCAAATGACACGGTGAGGTCGACGTAGCGGCGGTCCACTGATGGCTTGATCAGCTTCTGCATCCTACAGAGAGAGAAAGAGAGAGTTTAGTGCATCTGTTCAGTGTAGACAGCAGATGAATCATTTCAAAAATAATTTCCAGTTGGTTCAGAAAAGCAGAAAAACAAGATTTGACAGATTTGAGATGCTTCACCGAAACCTTTGGTCCATCCAGCAAAGTTAAAAATATAAAGAAAGAAAATCAGGAAAAAGATCATCTGTTATTACGCAAAGCACTCACGTTAATTTAAGTCTCTTTGAATGTCCAGGCATCACAGGTACATAGAGCATCTTCACACCATGGACAACCATAGTAGGTTCAATTCCATACTTTTCCTGACATAAAAATCATCAACATGTTATTTGACAAAGATTCTGTCAAAAACCTAAAAGAAAATACAACAATGTGGTAACTGCATCTGCATTGCTATTACAACAACACAGTACAATATGATTCATGTTTCTCACCCTCACTGCATTCATCAAGTCAGAGAGGGTGAAGTCCTCATGGCCATAAATAGTCCAACAGTCCCAGATGGAGAAGTAGATGTTGTCCCTGGTTAAAATGTCAAAGAACTGTCACTACTTTGCATTGTAGTAATAACAAAACAAGATGCTCTTGGTGCCATCTTGCTACGGATGCTTTCTCTTTGATCTTGCAATGCTGCAATAATAGTAAAGTGTGGTGTTTAAAGGTGTTTTCTCACCTTTAGGTAGCGTGAGAGACAGTGAGACTGACTAAGTGTACATACGCCCCTACCTGATGAGTGTCCGTTTAACTGGAGCAGGCTCAGTGAGCACCATGACAGGGAGGGCCAAGTTAAAGAAGCAGTTTTTGAAAGATTCAAACTCGTAGCCTCCAACCACCTTGATCAACTCGATGGCCACCTGAGTACATCAAAGTAATAACACAAAAAGTCTGAATGAATACTCACTGAATTATCGGGTTCTAATTCTGAATACAAAGCCGTTCTTAAAATCACGGTGGAAATCGACATTGAGTGACTATTCTCACCAGTCCAGCCACAGCAGCTGTTGCCGTGGCAATAGCAGGGATGATCTTGCCGGCGATGCGTTTGGTCTTGAGTCTATCAGCTGGCTCGATGGAGTACATCCTCGCTCTGAGAGCAGATGCTGATGCGACAAAGTCCATGTGGCCGTTGCTGTCATCGTCCTTTTCAAACTGCAGTGGACTCATCTGTAAGCTCTCTACAGAGAGCATGTGAAAGCACATTATCACCCAGTTGTTACCACAGGATATAATAATAATTTTACAATCAAGTACGGCTACATATTCAGCTTTGAATTATTGCGGACATCTTGAGTGTTTTTTCCTTCGTTTGTGCACCTGGTGTGACGCAGTCTGCAACAATGGCCTGCTCCAGCTGTGTGATGGCCTCCCTCTCCTCTTCACTGCTTTGTGGCATTTTCATCTGATCAGGCTTCTTTACTGTTTCATCCGTCTCTATACACTGGAACAGGGACAGATCCACAATAATGAACAAGATTAGGATTTTTTTTCCTACACACTCAAATCACAGAGCAGATCAATGGAGAAGCTTACTTTCTCTGAGGGCCTGTACTCAGGAATCTTGACATCTGAGAGAATCCTGGTCACCGCCTCCTCGGAGACATCCTGATAGATGGAAAAGTTTAGTCAGTCGGTGTGTAAGTGTGTGTGTGTTTGAAAGAATGTATGCTTGAGTGTACATGTCCTACCTTTTCTGAGTAAGGGATGTTATAAATCCCTGCGAAAAGCCGAGCAGTGCTGACAATGAAAGTGAAGTGCCTGATGGGAATAGAGGAAGGTTTGACAAGCTTAGATGTGACAAATACAATACAAGAAAGGCTTCAACTGTAATATAAATGAATGCAGCACTCACAAAGAGTCTTTCAAGTCAAAATCAATAGGTGCTGGAGGTCTTTTTGGGGACTGCCAAAACAAACCTAAAGATGAGAATAAAGTTTTCATTATACATCTTGATTTTATGTATTTTATATTGTTATGCAATATATTGTTATGCATATTAAATTGCTGTGAAATAAGCTGGTAACTTTATAGGTACATATGTGTTAAATAAAAACTTACTTCCATCCTTTAACCTTGTGTCCAGGGGGAAAGAGTGCAACAGTTGTAGGGCCTACATAAAGAGAACATCATTAAACATCATTAAACAATGCATATCATAACATATACATATAGTACCACCCACATACATAAAGTGTCTTAGTTATGAATATGAATTTCAGGTTGAGATCGATTACCTTTCTCTTGAAATACTTTTCAAATTTCAGACGGGCAACAGTGATGCATTGTTCCCACTGGCTAGGCCGTCTGCTTAGCAGCTTAATAACCTGAAATGACCCCTCCAGACTTTCCCCTCTCTGCATCCTCTACAAACATAAACACAGGATGATTCAAAACTGTGTTTTATTGAATGAGGCATTACATTACTGGTGTATATTAAAGCAAACACGATGTTAAGTAAATGAGAAAAAACACAAGTCTTACCTGCAGCACCACTTCAGCCGAGGAGTGGGTCTGCCAGAAAGAGTTGTACACGGAGGGCTTGTGGACAAATGCATTCTCAAACTA